CATCTCTGCTATTGTGCTTCTAAGGCTGCTGCTGTATGATTTTTTCCATATTTTCCAATAGCTATTGGCATTACCATATACAACACAGAGATTTGTACATCCAAATATTTTCCTTTTTTTTTTTTTTTTTTTTGTGATGGAGTCTCACTCTGTCACCCAGGCTGGAGTGCGGTGGCACGATCTTGTCTCACTACAATCTCTGCCTCCCCTGGTTCAAGTGATTCTCCTGCCTTAGCCTTCCAAGTAGCTGGGATTACAGGTGCGCACCACCATGCCCAGCTAATTTTTTGTATTTTTAGTAAAGACGGGGTTTCACCATGATGGCCAAGCTGGTTTCGAACTCCTGACCTTAAGTGATCCACCTGCCTTGGCCTCCCAAAGTACTAGGATTACAGGCATGAGCCACCATGCCCGGTCCCCAAATTTTTTTTTTTTTTTTAAGAGACAGGGTCTTGCTCTGTTGCCCAGGCTGAAGTGCAGTGGCACAATATAGCTCACTGCAGCCTCAAAGGCTGGCGGCAGTGGCAAATATAGCTCACTGCAGCCTCAACGTCCTGGGCTCAAGAGATCCTCCCATCTCAGCTCCCAAGAAGTAGCTGAACTGTAAGTGTGCACCCACCATGCCCAGCTAGTTTATTTTTATAGAGATGAGGTCTCACTCTGTTGCCCAGGCTGGTTTCAAACTCCTGGGCTCCACTGATCCTCCTGCTTCAGCCTCCCAAAGTGCTGGGCTTACAGGTGTGAGGCCGCGGCCCGGCCTCCAGAAGTGCTGGGCGTACAGGTGTGAGCCACCGTGCCGCCTTCCAGAAGCGCTGGGCGTACAGGTGTGAGCCGCTGTGCCCAGCCTTCTTTGCAGAGTATTATTACTGGGATTTCCAGGTAGACAACTTGCATTTGAAAATGAATCTGTAAAAAGCTTAGAGATAATCTTTTTCCTTTTATATTGTGTTGCCCAGGAGGTTGAGAATAACAGTAAACAAAGGCAGACTTCCTGGGTGTTTCCAACTTTCATGTCTCAGTTGTTTCTCAGAGGAGGATGCCCTTGGCCTTTTCTCTCAATAGTATCCATCAGGCTCAGCAGTATCTACTCTTTAGTCATCACTAAAAACTGTTAGTAGGTATACATCTTATTTTTTAATGGAAACTGTTAAAAGAGGTGAATTACATTGGTCTGCCAAACGTATTTATTCTTGAGACAGGGTCTTGTTGCTGTCTCCCAGCCTGGAGTGCGGCAATGCAATCATGGCTCATTGCATCGACTTCCTGGCTCCAGTGATCCTTCTGCTCAGCCTCCTGAGTAGCTGGGACCATAGGCATGCGCCACCACGCCTGGCTAATTGTATTTTTGGTAGACACAGTGTTTTGCCATGTTGCCCAGGCTGCTCTTGAACTTCTGACCTCAAGTGATCCACCTGCCTTGGCCTCCCAAAGTGCTGGGATTACAGGTGTGAGCCCACTGCCAAACTTTATACATTTATTCAACAGACATTTGGTTTATCATGTGCCCAGAACAGTGATAGGCGACCAGGTAAAGATTTAAATAAAACTCACATAATCTCTGCCCTTTAAAGTTTATAGTCCATGTAGGAAAGTTTTAAATACAACTAAATTGTAATTATGTTAAAATGGTGAATCAAAGTAACACAGGCCGGGGTGGTGGTGTAGGCCTGTAATCCCAATACTTCGGGAGGCTGAGGTGGGGGGTCCTTTGATCCCCCTACTGCACTTCAGCTGGGGCAACTGAGCAAGAACCTGTCTCAAAAAAAAAAAAAAAAGAAAGAAAGAAAAACAGAAAAAAAGAAACACACGTGATGCTAAGAAAACCTGCAGACACTGAGATCAACTCTTCAACTGAGAAGTGACGGGAGTGGATGTGAGCCGGGCCAGTCATGGTAAGAGTCTGTGTGGCGGTGCTGGGGAGGGGAGGAGCAAGTGTGAGGTGTGGGGGCGGGGGAGAGAGCAATCGTGGAGGGGTGGGAGGAGCAGGTGTGGAGGTGCTGGGGGTTGGAGCAAGTGTGGAGGTGTCGGGGTTAAAGCAAGTGCTGGTGGGGAGCAGGTGTGGGGTGCTGGGGGGAGCAGGTGGGGGGTGCTGGGGAAGGAGGGGGTGGAGGTGCTGGGGAAGGAGCAGGTGTGTGGGGGTGCTGGGGGAGGAGCAGGTGGGAGGTGCTGGGGAAGGAGCAGGTGGGGGTGCTGGGGAAGGAGCAGGTGTGGGGGTGCTGGGGAGGAGCAGGTGTGGGGGTGTGCCAGAGGAGCAGGTGTGGGGGTGCTGGGGGAGCAGGTGTGGGGTGCTGGAGGGAGCAAGTGGTGGAGGTGCTGGGGGAGGAGCAGGTGTGGGGGGTGCTGGGAGGAGGAGGTGGGGGTGTGCTGGGGGAGGAGCAAGTGTGGGGGTGTTGGGGGTTGGAGTGCGGTGGAGGTGCTGGGGAAGGAGCAGGTGTGAGGTGCTGGGGAAGCTAGAGCAGGTGAGGTGCTGGGGGAGGCAGGTGTGGGGGGTGCTGGGGGAGCAGGTGGGGGTGTTGGGAAGGAGCAGGTGTGGAGGTGCTGGGGAAGGAGCAGGTGTGGAGGTGCTGGGGGAGGAGCAGGTGTGGGGGTGCTGGGGAAGGAGCAGGTGTGGGGGTGCTGGGGGAGGAGCAGGTGTGGGGTGCTGGGGGAGGAGCAGGTGTGGGGGTGCTGGAGGAGGAGCAGGTGTGGGGGTGCTGGGGGAGGAGCAGGTGTGGGGGTGCTGGGGGAGGAGGCAGGTGTGGCGGTGCTGGGGGTTGGAGCAAGTGTGGAGGTGCTGGGGAAGGAGCAGGTGTGGCGGTGTGTGCTGGGGAGCAGGTGTGGGGGTGCTGGGGAGCAGGTGTGGGGGTGCTGGGGGAGGAGCAGGTGTGGGGTGCTGGGGGAGGAGCAAGTGTGGAGGTGCTGGAGGAGGCGTGTGGGGGTGCTGGGGAGAGCAGTGTATGGGGGGTGCTGGGAAGGAGGCAAGTGTGGGGGTGCTGGGGGAGGAGGTGTGGGGGTGCTGGGGGGAGGAGCAGGTGTGTGGGAGGTGCTACGGGTGGAGCAGGTGTGGAGGGGCTGGGGAGGAGGAGGCGTGGGGGTGCTGGAGTGGGGAGCAAGTGTGGATGTGCAGAGGCGTGCAGCGGGGAGCAGGTGTGGAGGTGCTGGGGAGGAGGACAGGTGTGGGAGGTGCTGAGTGGGGAACAAGTGTGGAGGTATGGGGTTGGAGCAAGCGTGAGGTGTTGGGGGAGGAGCAAATTGGATGCGCTGGGGAGGAGCAGGTGTGGAGGTGCTGGAGCAGGTGGGAGGTACTTGCGGGGAGGAGCATGCCTGGGGGTGTTGAGTGGGAGTGTGTGGGGTGTTGATGTGAGGCAGGGCCGCCTGTGGCTGTTGAGTAGGAGTGGGCGGGGCCGGGCCTGTGGGCTGAGGAGGCGTGGGCCGTCTGTGGGCTGAGTGGGGAGGCGTGGTCAGGCCTGTGGGCTGAGGGAGTGCAGGGCCGTCTGTGGGCTGAGGAGGCAGGGCCGTCAGGCTGCTGGGAGGAGGGCAGGGTCGTCTGGGCTGTTGAGGAGGGGCGGGTCAGTCTGTGGGGGGCTGAGGATCAGCACACTGTGGGCTGAGTGGGAGTGGGCGTGGCTGCCTGTGGGCTGAGTGGGAGTGCAGGGCCAGCCTGTGGGCTGAGTGGAGTGGGCAGTCGTCTCATGGGCTGTTGAGTAGGAGGCGGGCCGTCTGTGGGCTGAGTGGGAGTGGGCAGGGCCGCCTGTGGGCTGGAGTGGAGTGGGCGGTGGGCCGTCTGTGGGCTGTTGAGGAGGCAGGCCGTCTGGGCTGTTGAGGAGGGCGGGTCAGGTCTGTGGGCTGAGTGGGAGTGGGCAGGGCCGTCAGGGCTGAAGTGGGAGTGGGCAGGGCCGTCTGTGGGCTGTTGAGTGGGAGTGGGCGGGGCCGTCTGTGGCATTGGTAAAGGTACGGTGGATAGGGGTCCCAGTGGAAGAAGAAACTCAGCCTTGGGAGCCAGGAGATGCTCTTGGTCTTGAGCAGCGGCACACAGCTGACTGTGATGTGTCTGAAAGATCCCTTGGCTGTTGCATGGAAAATGGGGCAGGTAGGGGATAAAGACTGAGAAATGGAGAGGGACGGTGGCTTGGACTGAGGGGACAGAGTTGAGGTGGACACATTCTCCAGTTAGGGCTCAAGGACTTGGTGTCTGCACGTGGGCTGAGGCAGTGGGAGGTGGCTGGTGCTGTCCGGGTCTCAGCTCCAGCACCAAGACAGATGATGGACAGACAGACGGACAAAGGGTGTGCCTTGAGGTCTCCATGTGACACCGAGGACGGGGGGGCAGTGGGATGAACTGGTCCTGAGCTCAGAGAATATCTGTATCAGTGACATACATCTGGAAACCAGGGTATTGATGGTATTAAGAACACCACATAAAAATAAAAAGTGATCAGAACCAAAACCCACATTATGCCAATATTGAGTCTGGTTGGAGGAGAAGACAGTGAAACCTTGGGAAATGGCGAGTAACGTGCAAGGAAAATACAGAGGAAGGCGCTACAGAGGCCAGGGAAGGATGGCCCACAATCAAGGAGAAAGGAAGTGCACGGTGTTAAATGCCGAGTGGCTACAAGGAAAAGCACAAGGGCTCCACTCAAGTCGACCCCGACCACCAGTAACGAATGCAACAGGAAGGGATACTCCAGTATCATCCTCAGTGTGTTCCAATGTTCAGACGTCTCGGCAGCCCCCGCTGCACTTCTCAGCGCCCTGGTTAAAAACACATTTTCAAGTCTGTTTTTCCTATACATGATTATCCTTTAGAAGAGCTGTTTTTGACATGCAGAGTATAATGTGCTGGGCAGAGGAGAGTCACACTGAGCTGGGAGCAACAGGAAGGCTGTCAGCTGCTCTGAGGTAGGTGCTTGGAAAAGCGAGTGCAGACAGTAAATGAAAACAGTGCCTGGCGTCTCCTTTCCAATTATCTGACTGCACACTGAACACCTCCCTTCAAAAGACAGAGAAGACACAAATCATGAGTGAGCTAACGTAAAAGTTTTATTGAATAAATACATGCACTGTCATGTGAAATTAGTTGAACAGAAAGGACATTCTCTACTTTTTAACCCGCACCCCCCACCGTTGTTCTCTATTTGCAGTGGGGGGTCCAGCTGGAGGTGGAATAAATGCGGCAAACGCAGAAGAAAACACACAGCTACACACAGGTCTGCATTTGGCTTAGGTGCCTGAAAAAGAAGGGCCGACCTCGATAAAGAATGTCTGTAAAAGGAATTTTTACTGTGCAGAATATACTATCATGGTAAATACAGTTACAAGGCTGCTTCTATTTTATTTATTTTTTGAGATGGAGTCTCACTCTGTCGCCCAGGCTGGAGTACAGTGGTGCGATTTCAGCTCACTGCAACCTCCACCTCCTGGGTTCAAGCGATTCTCCTGCCTCAGCCTCCTGAGTAGTAGCTGGGATTACAGGTGTGCACTCCACCACCACGCCTGGCTAATTTTTGTATTTTTAGTAAAGACGGGGTTTCACCATGTTGGCCAGGCTGGTCTTGAACTCCTGACCTCAGGTGATCCGCCCACCTTGGCCTCCCAAAGTGCTGGGATTACAGGTGTGAGCCACCAGGCCCAGTCAGCTGCTTCTGTTTTAATCTGAACTTGGAAACACCTTCCTACTTTAAGGCACAGGATCAGGATAAGAACCCACATGTACGAGCTAACAGAGCTGCACTTCGAATTTACCAAGTTAATTCATTTTTCCCTTCATTGGCTTGACTCAAGGTAGAAAAGTTAAAATTCCCTTTTCTTAGATAAACTAATTATTTAAAACTGAAAATTAACATTCTGAGAACTCAAGAGTGTCTGACATCACTGGGATCCTGGAGTGCTGAGTGCGGCCTCGAGGGTGGCTTCTCTCCTCCATGTCTGGGAGGTACTTCAGTGCCTCAGAATCACCCCCCTTTCCTTCTTTCCTTTCTTTCAAAGAGAAAGGAGACGGCTACTGGAGGCCAAGAACCTCCAGGCACTCAAGGCCCTGGAGACAGCGTTTCCGATTCCACTGCCTCGGGGCAGGCACGGTGCTGCTCAACCTTCCTCTGGGCTTGTACCTTTAATTGTGTCTACTCTGCCTAAGTGCTTAAATAAAGCCTTCCATTAAGCAAAATACACACAGAGCGGGTTACACACAGGACTGCAGAACTCAGATGGATGGGATGTTGGTAAAAATTACTGGCATGCTACAGTTTCGATGAGTGCTGCTTCTTTATAGATTATGACAGAAGACTTTCAACAGACCTGATTTTTAAAAAACTTTCAACAAATCTAATACTATGGGAAAGCAACTAGATTTAATGTTATCACCTGTCTTCCATAAATACCATAAATGTTTTGTGTGCATACGCGTACATATGTGTCTATAAAGGTGCTGATATGCTTCCCAAATCCTATATACTAACAGTGGAAATGGTTTATCAAGAGGCTTTACAGTCAAATGTCATTCAGTAGGAGACAGAGTATACTGGTCTTTATGATTACATGAAATATGCTGTGAAGCTACAGACTCATTCTAAGTAAACCCATGGTTCAAAGTGGAAATTATAAATGGAAACAAAATTAAAATCTGTTAGAAGGGAGGGTGGGGAGACAGCCACCGGCCAAGGGTAGGTTACAAATGGAAGCAAAATCGAAATCTGCTAGAAGGGAGGGTGGGCAGACAGCCACTGGCTACCGGCCTCTGTCACAGGCACTTCGGTTTGTTTGGTCACGTGAGTTACCCACAAGTTGTGTAGTTCCATTAAACAAGCTAAGAGCTCCAATTTAAATTACAAAGCTCTATTTTCCTTAATATATTTATACATAGTTTTAAGATGTTCTCATGGCTATGGAAGCTATTTTCAGCATACAGCTTATAATATACACTTAATCGTCTACATATGTGCATCCTTTCTTTACAGATACTGCAACAGAGCCTCACCTCACAGGAGGTCTGGGGGACTCCTAAGTACATAAACATGCTTTTAATAGTCTAAACAGAATAAAAACTGCGTAACAATATCCCAATATTAAGGTTAGTCACGGCATAAAGGGAAGCAGCCTGGGAAATGGCTGCTGAGAACAGCAGGGGCCGGGCTCACAGCTGTGGCGCCCCCAACCCTGGTGGTGGCCAGTGCACATCGGCTCACACGTCCCCCATCCTATGTGTGAGGTCACGCTGGCTGCTCCTGACTAGAACGAGATCGAGCTTCCAATTTTCAATGCAATGTCCTGTCTGCTTATCCCAATCTACCTCACAACCTTTAAGGGCAGCGTGCACCTTCCTTTTTTTTATAGGCTGGGAAAACACTGAAAATTAACAACGCTCATGACTGACTATTTGACAGTAGCTTAATGGCTAACACGGAAAGTCTGTTCTTATAGTCTAGGAAAAGTACAAGGTGTCTGTAGACTGTTTCATGAGTTAGTTACAACAGCAATTAAAATAAACATAAGATTTCATTTTATATAAGAAATTTCAGATTAGTACGATATGATTTATGAACCATAATTCTCTTAATATCTTATATTACTCAGTTATAAAACATTTTTCCTCATAAGCCCTTCAACTTCTCAGTAATACATCCTTATATTTATGAAACTGTTAATATTTTGAATACTTTATTTTATCATTCATAATGGGCAGAAACATACTAACATTTAATAATCTTTCAGCTTTTCTTCTTAAAAAGAAACACCACAAAATAGGTCACTGAGAACTTTTTGCCGCAAAGATGAAAATGATTATTTGTCACAAGAATTTAATAAGTTTTAGAAGAAAATATATATATTTCCTTGATCTATTCCTTCTGAATTTCAACCAGCATGTAAAGATTATAAAAAATAGAGTCTATTTACATAGCATAGTATACCTCAGTGATATATAAACAAGGCCATAGTAAAGCACAGACACATCCGGCCCCTATGGACACAGCTGAGCAGAGTCCACAGACACAAGAGCTACCACCACCCTATTGCACGTTGTAGGAACTGGCAAAACCCTAGAGGAAATCCAACATATAAAATTTAATGATAATATTGGCCAAATTTGCCTAAAATGTCAACAACTTTATAAAACTATTAAGGTATGTATAACTAAATACATGAAATTATAAAAATAACATTGGTACGTCTGTGAGAGGGGGTGTTCCGGGCAGAGGTTGAGGAGCTATGCTGCAGAGGACCCCTCCTGCCTGGTGTGGCTATGTCATCACCTGAGGCCTCGTCCCGTCTTCCGTGAGGTCATACCTGAGAAAGACAGTGACAGGAAGGTGGTGACGGACACAGGACCAAGTACGAAAAGCCTATCAGATACATGTCGGGTTCCGCCACTGTCTGTGGGGGACACTACCCACCGGGAGGGGAAAGCGTTTTTAGCTACATGCTGGGGTTCTCTGTCTGTAGCAGGGACACTCACCACTGGGTCCAGCCTTTGGCAAGTTCTTCAGATGCCAGAGCAACCAATACCTGTGGGTTTAAAAAAAATAGTAGTTAAAGTAGGCTGGGCTGGGGGCACTGGCTCCCGCCTATAATCCCACCACTTTGGGAGGCCAAGACGGGAGGATTGCTTAAGCCCAGGAGTTTGAGACCAGCCTGGGCAAGACAGTGAAACTCTGTCTCTACTAAAAATTAAAAAAAATTTATCTGGGCGTGCTGACGTGAGCCTTGGTCCCAGCAACTCGGGAGGCTAAGACCGGGATTGCTTGAGCCCAGGATTCGAAGCAGCACTGAGCCATGATCGTGCCATTGGACTTCAGCCTGTGCTTCTAGAGACCCTGTCTCTAAATAAATACACAAATACATAAAGTAGGCTAAGGCGATGTCTTTTAGATCTTTGACCACTTCTTCTCATCTCTCTCATCTTCTGTCTTTGTCTAGGAATGTGGACTCTCCTATTTTGAAGGCTCTTGTTTTTTCAATCTTTTCTACCCCTGTGAGCACCTGTAAGCTATATGGCTGAGTACATCTAAGAAATCCTTCATGCAACCAGCAGTCTTAAAATTCAGCTTGACAGAGTATCAGAGGAGACGACTCACAGGAGCGTTGGCCCACGTGCCCTCCATGGCAGCACAGCTGACAAAATGATGCCTGTGACTCAAATCTCCTCCTCCCTAACTGAACTCTACTTTCATTCTTAAATAACACACCCACATGCCAAAGTTAAATGTGAATATGGACAAAGACTAGAAGAAATTCAGATAAATAAAGCCAATGAATTTCAGAAAAAGAGCAGAGCCATCAGTTGAGGAGATGGAATTGTAAGAGATTATTTTCCTTCAATGTGATACTTGAACAAAAATTTGAAGACTTAAAAAAAAATCTTCAACTAGAAGTTCATGGTATTAGTACAGTTAATGAATCAATAATCTGAATATGAAAAAACAATTAAAATAACTTACAATATTTTCAGAAAGCACAGATGTTTTATTGACTGTCTTTATAGCCCACGATTTATAAACAAGCACTGACCTCGTAAGTTCACCCTGTCCGCTTAAACAGATATGGTCTCAACACTGCACTGCAGGTAAATGTTCAATTTTACAAATCACAGGAACTGATCGGAGATTTGTTTGGCACTTACTTTGCCAAGGAGCCCTTTGTCTTTGGACAGGAAACCGCCGCTGTTCTTCACGGCGACGTCGAGTGTTCTCCTCTGCACCTCTGGTAATGAAACACTGAAATCAAAGCTGAAACAGGAAACAAGAGCCTTACTTAACTTTACCATCATTCTGTTGTATTTTCTCATAACTAAAAATGGCATTTCTGCTCATGAGATCATTCCAAATGTCATGTTTGTTTTTTATTATAAAACTGAGTTCTTCTACCTAATGTTTTCATCTGGCATTTCAGGAAGACTCAAAAACCAACATTTTTTTTTGTTTCCCACACATAAGAGAAGGCTCTGGCACCCACAGATGTCTGGGTCCCATGGTCCCTGGCTCACTCATGGTGGGTGAGGAGCGTCTCTGAACATGTCTGATTCTTCCTGGGGGTTAAAATATGGGATAGTGTTGACAAAATAGCAATTCCAGAACAGCCCACTCACTCAGGCTTTCCAGCCATCCGTTCAGTCTTCAGGCCCTATTCCCACTCTCTCCAATAAAAAAAGTATGCGCCTGCAGCTTTGCAGGAGGGACAAGGCCTCCAAAGCCCTTGTGACGCTCAGCCAGATGCTGCACTCAGGAGCCTGCAGGGCGTCTCTCCCGGGGGCTGGCGGGTGCCTGCCCCAGGCCACAGTGCTGGAAACCCAGATGGGCATGTGGAGTCCCCAGATGCTTAAATGCTTCGGATGGATAGGAGCACTCTGCACAACCTCATCAGGGGCTGATGCAGGCCTGTCAGTTTCTGATGTGTGTTTTACATAAAGCTACTTGTATGAAAGTACAATGAATGCGGAGAATGTTTAAAGATGCAACGTAAACGGAACTAGCAGATAGCGACACCATACAACAGTATTATCATCATTTCCCAAAACATGGGTGGGTTTCGTAGCACCAGGGGACAATTCTGTAAGATACCAAATTGGTACAGATTGGCAGCTCTTTAAGTGGGGGCCAATGACCCCTGGGGGGGTCTCTTGAGACCCTCTAAGGACATTGCCAAATCACCCTGACCAGAGAAAGAGACTCCAGCCTCTCAAGCCAGACCACTAAAGAGATGAGCAAAAATGCAGATTATTATTATTCTTTTCATTATTATGTTTTTTATTTTTGGAAATACAGTTGTTTTTTCAATATGTCATACTTTAAGATTTTTGGGGCTTATGTTATTTTGAAACAAAATTAAAAATAGATGTATCCTTAAATTTTCAGTTTTAATTGATAACATAGTTAAGTGTCAACAGACAGAACCCCCAAAATGTCAGAACCCCCAAAATATCAACAGACAGAACCCCCAAAATGTCAAGATACAATCCCCAAAATGTCAACAGACATAATCCTCAAAGTGTCAACAGATATAACCCCCAAAATGTCAACAGATAAAACCCCCAAAAATGACTTCTTCAGGGCCATCAATAACTTGATCTTTATTTAACCACTAGTCTCCGTGTCCACAGGGTTATAACTTGAATTTACTATATTTAGAGCTTCTACGTAAAGGCCAAAATGCTTATTTGTTTTGAGATGTACGTTTGCTGAAATTTGGTTTCCGACTGAACTTCTCAATAGCTGATTTATGTGCTTCGGCCATTCAAAGGCACCATTTAGGGTCTTCTTAATCTGCCACTTCAACCAGGCAGTCTATCCGCGGCTGGATAAAATATCGTACCTTTGATCAAACACAGGATTTAACGTTTTCTTTGACACGTGTGTTTTCCTCCTTCCTGACCGCCTCTTGTCTGGTAATAAATACATGCGGACGTAGGGGTCAGAGCCGTCTTCAGAGAAGGCAATGAGGTTTCTTACAACACAAACCAGAGAAGACAAGGTATTAGGATCAAGAAAAAGAGAATTAGCAGCACATTCAGATGTGCTTTATCAAGCTTTGATTTCGTGTTTATCTAAAAACTGAGAAGTAACAAGGAACAGAATGTGCGAGGCGCTTTTGCCTCCCCTGATGGCTGCCTGGTGGCGTCTCCCAAACTCCTTTCTTAGTGGCTTTCTCAGCGGCGACTTGAGCCCAGAGTTTGCAGGACATTCTAAGTCCTTGGTCTCTGCTTGTAACAGAGTGATAGTTGTTGTTCCACAATGCTTCTGCCATTTTCTCTCTCACAGCCAAGCAAGCCAGGCCCCCAGGAGACACCCACAGACCTGCCTGGGCTGCTCGCCTCCACCCCACAATGCCTACTCCTCCAGATGGGGGCTGCTCCTTTGCCAAACGCGGTCAAGTGCCCAGCTGCACGGGCCCCCACATTCTTCGCTTGCTGACTGACCCCAAAGTTTAGTAGGGATTGTTTTGCTAGACTCCTCTCAAACAGTATCCCCCACGGTCATTATCTTAGTGGCAAGAATATACGAACTTCTCAAGAGTGATGTATTGAACTCTACAGTTATATCATCTTTCTAAACGGTGCTAATTTTATTTTCCTATGTTTCCAACAGCTACTTATAAGCTCCAAATTTTTATATCGTATTTTAAACCACTAACGGGACAGAGAAAACGGCAATAAAAGGAAAATAGTTCCTAAGCCCACAGTATCATTGCTAACCAAACGCAATTTAAGCAAGTCACCTGACTTTATATTTATTAAAATAATATAATGAACAAGTTAAAACAAATTTTTCCTGATGAGGCCAGTCATGGTGGCTCATGTCTATAATCCCAATGCTTTGGGAAGCCAGGAACTAGAGACCAGCATCTCCACAAAAAATTTAAAAATTAGCCAGGCCTGGTGGCTTCCACCTATAGTCCCAGCTACTCGGGAGGCCTGGCCAACATGGTAAGACCCAGTGTCTACTAAAAATACAAGTTAGCCGGACGAGGTGGTGCACGCCTGTAATTCCAACTACCCGGGTGGCTGAGGCAGGAGACTTGCTTGAACCCAGGAAGCGGAAGTTGCAGTAAGATGAGATCGTGCCACTGCATTCCAGCCTCGGGGACAAAGTGAAACTGTCTTCAAAAACACACACACACACACACACATTCCTCCTGCTCTAGGCTACACATTTGTACAGTATGCTACTGTGCTGAATACTGCAGGCAATTGTGACATATTTATTTTTTTTCTTTTTGAGACAGAGTTTCGCTCGTTGCCCAGGCTGGAGTGCAATGGCGCGATCTTGGCTCACAGCAACCTCCACCTCCTGGGTTGAAGTAATTCTGCATCAGCCTCCCTAGTAGCTGGGACTACAGGCATGCGCCACCACACCCGGCTAATTTTGTATTTTTAGTAGAGACAGGGTTTTTCCATTTTGGTCAGGCTGGTCTCGAATTCCAGACCTCAGGTGATCCGCCCGCCTCAGCCTCCCAAAGTGCTGGGATTACAGGCGTGAGCCACCGCACCAAGCCATATCTGTCTATTTAAATACATAAAACGTACAGTAAAAATATGGTATGATCTTAGTGGACCGTTGTACTTCGGGGACCAAAACGTCATGTGACACAGGCAGTGTTGACACCCTTTATAAGCACCGTCTGTAGAGGTTTAATTGCTTTGTCCTTTCTAAACGAAACATAAATGGATGTTTGGTAATCCCAGAGGTGGGTATCTGCATCATCCTATCCAGCATCCACACTCGGCAGCAACGCAGCAGGTGCGTGGCGACCCCAGCCCCCACCTGCAGGCATGCACGACCACGATGAGCTTGTTTCTCTGCGAGCTGTGCCGGATGGTCAGCTGGATCTGCCCCAGTGGAGACTGTCCCAGGGTCGTCCCACTGTGGGAAAAGAGCAGAAAGTCACCAGCTTGCCTGAGACTGGAGAACGTTGTGACTCATTGGTCTACTGTACACAATAAGATAATTTCCATTCATTTAGACAAAAAGAAGTCAAATTACCCATGAACTTAAATATAATTTGAAACTCCTGGGTACAAGTCAAACAGATGAGTATTTTACTCGAGGGCTCAATATAAATTAATTATTCAAAACTGACAGTTGTGTTTTTTTTTTTTTTTGAGACGGAGTTTTGCTCTTGTTGCCCAGGCTGGAGCGCAGTGGTGTAATCTCGGCTCACTAACCTCCACCTCCTGGGTTCAAGCAATTCTCCTGCCTCAGCCTCCCGAGTAGCTGGGATTACAGGCGCCTGCCACCAAGCCCAGCTAATGTTTTGTAATTTTAGTAGAGACAGGATTTCACCATGTTGGCCAGGCTGGTCTCGAATTCCTGACCTCAGGTGATCCAGCTGCTTCGGCCTCCCAAAGTGCTGGGATTACAGGCGTGAGCCATAGCCTCCAGCCAACTGACAGTTTTTTAGTTAGGGTCCTGAGAACTAAAAATAAAATCCTAAGCCCCCACCCCACTCCCACATGAGTGGACCCAGGGGACCCCAGAGAAACCTTAAACACTGAGCTCCTGACCACAACAGGATGGGACGTTATTTATACCCACTCCCTTTGCAGTTCAGACGCAACCACTGACTGGCATTAATGCTACAACAGAGATCGCAAGGCTGAATAAATAGACTCTTTGTGGCAATAAGACACCAAGCTACAAAGAAGACCTGGGGCCATGCCAGGCAAGGGTAAGCCTCACACCCAACACTTACAGAATCAACTGGGTTCTACCAGCCGCCAGGCGTCTCCTTCTCCAGCAGCTAAACAAGCACTGGCCTCGAGAGCAGCAGTTCAAGCAATCACAGCCTGTCCTGATCCAGAGGCCGACTCACTGACCGCTGCTTCACTGGCGCTAACTGCAGTTTTGACTGATGAGCGGCTGACTTCAGAACTTCCTCCTGATGGCCGACCCTGACCACAGACTGCTGCTGGCTGCTCTAGACAGGCTGGGCACTCTGTGGCATTCCCAGCTCCTCCTGGAACCTGCTGAGGACATGCGCTCCGCACAAAGCTCCTGCCCTACCCTTCCTCCTTGGAGATGCTTCCGGACTCAGAGAGAGGCTGCACTTCCCAGTCTGTCAGGCTGGCCGGCCTGCAGGCTGCAACCCGCTAAGGAACAGTCTCCTTTCTAAACGTGCAGATCTTATGATTCATCAAGTGAGCACCCGAGGTTGAAACCACACAGTGTCCTTAGTACAAGCGTCACCTCTGTGGTCCTTGTTAACCAGTTTCTAGCCTGTCCTACCTGAATCTGCGTGTCCCATCTCAAAGCCTCATGCAAGTCACGTGCTCTCTTCCCATCTGAGACTGCAGTGCCCTTCCTTCCATTTCTCTCTGCTCAAGGATGGAACACAGACCCCCAAAACGACAACTGGTCTTGTTCAGTGGCCCCTAAGATCATTTCTACTTCCCAAATTGAGCTCCTGAGAAAGAGTTGTTCCTTGTTTAAAATTCTATTTCCTTTCGGAGCGAGAGAGAAGGAATGTTTTCTTCTTTCCAAAATAGTACACGTGAGAAAGCATGAAAGAAAAAAGTGAGTGTGGCTCAGAAGAGGGTGGCTGTGCAAGCCCCACAGTCTGCATGTGCTTTTTCTAACAGCGCAGAAGCAAACATGCTTCCACCTTTGCCTCCGTTTCTTTTACTATTTTCTTATCACTTGACACACCTCTTATAACTCCACAAACGGAGAACTATTTCAAAGGTCAATTTTGTTTCTTCCACCAAGAGGAAAAGGTTAACATCTGAAGCTTGTGATAGCTACAGATGACTTTTTCTTCCTTATCTAAAGAAACCCTTAACACACCTATGAGTCACGGGGCTTAAATAAGGAGCCAACACAGACATTCAAACACAAACCCAAGAGGCTGGGCGGCAGCAATGGGATCTGACTGCGTGAGAAGAGCAGGTTCTGTCCTCGCACAACGGGGAAGCCAGGGCTTCTCCGGGCCACAGCGAGGCCCGCGGGCCAGCTCTGCGCCTGTCTTCCTGGCGGGAGCCCAGGCACCCAGCAGCGTCCCGGCGCTGCCTCCTGTCTTTCCTATTGTGAAACCTATTACTCCATCACGTTTCAATCTTTAAATGACTAAATCCTAGAAAACCGTAGGTTGTATTTCCCAAGTCCAAGACGCAGTGAGCACAACAGCAACACAACCCTTAGTGCTTTCAGTTAACACAAGATGACGCCTCCCTCCCCCAGGCACGCCAGCCTCGTGCTCTGCTGCGTTAAACCCACTCCCCAAGGGTGGGCGGCGCTTGCTCTGCTGCTGAGAAACAACATGGCGGCACTTAGTTACTTTTCCAGCTGCCTCAGCCGTTGCCGCAGCTCCTGGGTGGCGATGGGCAGCGAGATGTCCGAGGCGATGCTGGGGGTGGGCTCCTTGGCCGAGATGTGGCCTGGGGAGGCCAGGAGGCTGGAGGAGCTTCTGCCCAGGTCGTGCAGCCCCTGAGGGCCGGCCTCAGGCGGCTGGGCCTTTTCTTCCACACCAGGCTTGTCACTGCCCCCAATGACTGGTGTGGATGGAGCTGTGTTGCTGCCGCCAGGGCCTGGAGACCCAGACATATGAGATTTGACGGATGTTTTCCTCCCCTCTTTGGACACAGAGGGACGTTTGACTTGAGCTGAGTGTTGGTGGTCGGGAGGCCTTTCTCGCTTTTCCAGATGGAGCACCTAGAGGTGGACACAAACACAAACATTAAACTTGGTGACCCTGGTAACATCCTAATACTGGAACAGCTTGGGATGTCTTTATCTGCAAACATTTCTTTAAAACTTAGCTCAAACTTTTTTTTTAAAGGAAAGTTTAAGTAACCAAAATATCACTTCTGTGATACAAACACCACTTTTTCCCCTAGAGATGGGGAGACTCGCTAAGCTGCACAGGCCGGAGTGCCATAGCTGTCCACAGGTGTGACCATCGCACACTACACCCCAAGCTCCTGGCCTCAAGAGATCCTCCCGCCGCAGCCTGCTAAGTAGCTGGGGCATCGCACCTTCAGGCTCTAGTGGCAGCAACAGGGTGGTGGCAGTGATAAGCCTGGACGGTGTGGAAGGGCAGGCCACCCCCCTGAAGCTGACCCTCTGGTGCCACACAACCTGGGCAGAAGCTCCTCCAGCTTCCCCAGGCCACATCTCAGGCAAGGAGCCCCCCATGGCACTTCTGTGTATTCCTCTAGTCTCTTCCGTTTGCACATATTTCTTCGCAATTGTGGGAAAACGTTTTTACTTCAAGAGCCCAGAGTTGCGTTTCCTCGATAGAAGACCAAATTCCATATTCTATAAAGGTGGTTTCCACCCAGCGTCCCCAGAGGAAGGAAGAAAATCCAGAACCCTTGCTATCCAGCAAGATCACCCTAAACAACCTGGCATGAGTGCAGGAACAGGGGTACCCGCAGGGCCCGGGGTCTCCCAGTTGCTCCTGTGTGAGCACAGGAGCAGGGGGTACCCAAAAGGCCTGCGGTCTCCCAGTTATGTGGTCCCTGGGCTGGCTTGAGCAGAGTCTACACCTTGCACATCACTCCACTCTGGGGTGACTGTGATAGCTTAAAGATTTTTTCTGGTTTTAGGAAATAACGCCGCAGTGAACATCTTTGTGTTCCTGGTCTCCCCACACTTTGTATCACAAAACAAGAGTCAGGTTTCTAGAAGAAAGGCCAAGGAGCCTTCAGATGAATGGCTCCGGGATGCCGCAGCTCCCTCTGGAGAGGTGTGCGACACCCCCAGTCTCTGCCGGGGGCAAGGAGGCTGTTCCCATTGCCCTCTCAACAGAAGTCATTTGTTTGAATTTTCTAAAAAAGCTGGCTCTTCATTTTAATTTGCATTTCTTTGATTCATGAGTTTTAGTGTTTCTCCATATGTTTGCCAGTTTTACTTTCAACATTTCCTTAGCTATTTACAAATGAATCACCATTTATTTTGGACAAAAAGTATTTTTTTCCTGTAAGTTCTACTGTCTCATGGAGTTTTATTAAATTCTCTCTTCTGAACAACCTTTGAAAAGTTAGACTCAGGAGAAAACCTTATTGATACCAACAGTAACACTTTCCAGGCCAAAGGATAATGGTAACGTTGCTGGGTTCACAGGAAAGTACTGTGAGTAGCCGTGGGCCTGCTCAGGCAACCTGGAAATGTGGCCTGTTCTATGGCTAAGTCTCAGCCTTTGTCTTCTCCCCGGAGCCCTCTGATACCCAGCAACAGTGTCTCCTCCCTGCACCGGCACCCTCCTGTGGCCCAGAGCTGCAGCCGACACAGAGCTTTCTTCACCGGCCTCATGCCCGGGGCCCACAGGTATCCCTGCCAGCACCGGCCTCCCCATCCCCTATGGTGTTCACTGCAGGATGACACAATACCCAGAGGGCAATCTTCATCTTGATGGTGCTGTTTGGACCCGAGTTACTGAGCTGGAAGCGCTGGTTCAGGGTCATGTCCTCACTGGTGAGCAGCTGGCTGAGGGGGACCTTCAGGTTCCCCAGGGAACACTGGTGCTGCTCGTCTCTGACCTGCAAAACACAGGGTAGAAACACTGGCATAACTAGGATCATGTCTGCAGAACCTTTCTACGTTTTCTAAGCTCCTGACCTTTTGTTCTCAGAGATAGGAACTTAGAAAATGTAGAAAGGAGCCAGGTGGGGTGGCTCACACCTGTAATTTCAGCACTTAGGGAGGCTCAGATCACCTGAGGCCAGGGGTTCGAGATCAGCCTGGCCAACATGGCGAAACCCCGCTGTACTAAAAATACAAAAAATTAGTCGGGTGTGGCGGCACGCACCTGTAGTCCCAGCTACTTGGGAGGCTGAGGCATGAGAATCACTTGAACCTGGGAGGAGGAGGCTGCAGTGAGCCGAGATCACACCACTGCACTCCAGCCTGGGTGACAAAACTGTTTCAAAAACAAACAAACGTAGAAAGGTCCACAGACAATATTAGTCTGTAAGAGAGATATTTTTAAAAACCCAAACATATTTCAGTCATATTCTCTTAAGTAGTGTTTCCATAATGATTAACATGGTACAAAATCTCTCCCGAGAAAGACACAAAACACTGTTAAGCAAAAGATCTGCTATTTCCTCATTATAGATCACAATGAGCACAGAAAGAAATGATGTAATAATGACAAATGAGAAAAGCAATAATGACAATAACGACCAATCGGTTAGGAGAACCCTGGGTTAATAGGCAATAGTCTACCTGTCTTTTAACCCCTGGGAAAATGGTGGCAATACACATTCATAATGATATATAAAGTTTCTACTCATGACATTTATGGAGACAATACATTTCAAAGTGCCTTTTAAACCTTCTCTATTCAAAATCCACATTAAAGAAAATTTATAGCATTTGCTTTAAATGCAAGGTAATTTTCCTATTTAAAAAAAAAAAAAAGAAGCGGATCTCACTATGTTGTCCAGGCTGGTCTCAAACTCTTGGCCTCAGTGATCCTCTCATCTCAGCCTCCCAAAGTGCTGAGATTACAGGTGTGAGCCACCATGCCCAGCCTCTTTTTCCTGAATAATAACCTTCCGCATTATTTCTGTAACAGGAATTATTCCTGTTAGATGGCTGTAATAGAAAATAATTTAATCAAATAGAGTAAGAACTCTGAAGGTTTCTCAGGCTATACAAAAATGGTCAGAGAAATTAACCCATAGCTACTCAGGAAAACCTAAAAGCTTGATTGCTTGTTTCTTTTTAAACTAAACTATAATCACAAAAGCAATTTTAAATGAAATAACTATGACAATGTTTGTAGAACTTTAAAAGCTATTTTTAAAATCCAAAGTCCAGTAAGCATAGATTATTTTGAGAATATATAAGTGCACTTTATGAAGGAAAAACCAGCTAGACAAAACACAAATCCTTTTGTACAAAACAGAATGTAAAAAAGTATCAGGTTGCTGCAAAATTAACTGCAGTTTCAATGGCAAAAACTGCAATTACTTTTGCACCAACCTAATAAAATGACCAACACAGAATAATGAGACAGGGCCAGGCAAGCCCAGAATGACCAGGTCTCCTAGGCCCAGCTGTTCACACACACCTATCAAGAGAGGTTCAAGATACAAGAAACAAAAACAGAGGCTGAGGAAAAAATATAAATTCAGAGATTTAAACACCATGCTCTTCATACCTGATACAAGTAGTAGTCTGAGAATTAGTAAGGTCCTAGAGGACCTGAGCAATGCCACCAACCACCCTGACCTACTGACATTCATGAGACACTCGCCAACACCAGAAAGGCACGCAGCCTACAGGTGCATGTGGAGTGTGTCCTAGCACAGGCAGTGCTCTGGGCCATAAAGCTGGTCTCAAACATAAAAGGGCTCATGTCATACAAAGTACGTATTCTGATCACTATGGAATGAAATTGGAATCAATAATAGAAAGATTAAAAAAAAAACCCCGAAACATATGGAAACTAAGTAACACACCAAAATAACCCATACATGGGTCAAAGGAAAAAATTGAAAGGGAAATTAAGGAAATAATAATAATCAAAAGGAGACATCAAAAGAAAAGAAAACAAAACCACAAGTCAAAATTTGTGAGATGTAGCTAAAGCAGAATGCAAAGTGAAATCTATTGGAGTAAATGCCTACATGATAAAAACAGAAATGTCTCAGGCTTCTTCTTTAAGAAACTAGAAAAACAGAAGCAAACAAGACCCAAAGTGGGACTGAAATAATAATGATCGTAGTAGAAGTCAATGAAATAGTAAAAGAAAAGCAATAATGACAATTAAACAAAAAATTGGTTCTTTGAGAAAATAAAATCAATAAACATCTTGTAAGACTTATTAGGAAGAAAGAGAAGACAGGCCAGGCACGATGGCTCATGTATGTAATCCCAGCACTTTGGGAGGCCGAGGTGGGTGGGTGGCTTGAGCCCAGGAGTTCGAGACCAGCCTGGGCAATGTGGTGAAACCCCATCTTTACATACACAAATACACACACACACACCCCCCTCCAAAACACAAAAATTAGCTGGGTGTGGTGGCATGCACCTCTAGTCCCAGACACTCGGGAGGCTGAGGCACACATACACACATACCCAAAACACAAAAATGAGCTGGGTGTGGTGACATGCACCTCTAGTCCCAGCCACTTGGGAGGCTGAGGCGGGAGGACTGCTTGAGCCCAAGAGGTCAAGGCTGCAGTGAGTCATGACTGCACCACTGCACTCCAGCCTGGGTGACAAAGTGAGACCCTGCCTCAAGAAAAAACAAAAAGATTTATTAATAAAGCACCAATAATAAAGACAATGTGATACTGGCACAAAAACAGACATATAGAACAATGGAACAGAAGGAATTCCAGAAATAGACCCATACATATGGGCAACTGAGTTTCTGGAAAGTTCCTAAGCTAGTAAGTTAGGGTAAATAATAATCTTTTTAACAAAGACTAAACAACTGCACAACTGCTCAACAACTACACGGCCATATATAAGAAAAAGAGGCTGTGCACAGTGGCTTGCAACTGTAATCCCAGCACTTGGGGAAGCTGAAGTGGGAACATCTCTGCTTGAGCCCAGGAGTTTGTGACCAGTCTGGACAACACTGTGAGACTCCCATCTCTACAAAAAACAAAAAAAATTAGCCAGGCATGGTGGTGTCTGACTATAGTCCCAGCTACTCCGGAGGCCAGGGTGGGCGGATCGCCTGAGCCCAGGAGTTTGAGGCTGCAGTGATCTGTGATTATACCACTGCACTCCAGTCTGGATAACAGAGTGAAACTCTGTTCTCAAAAACAAATAAAGAGGCGGGGTGCGGTGGCTTACGCCTGTGATCCCAGCACGTTGGGAGGCCAAAGCAGGTGGATTACCTGAGGTCAGGAGTTCAAGACCACCCTGGCCAACATGGCGAAACTCCGTCTCTGCTAAAAATACAAAAAATTAGCCAGGCGTGGTGGCACGCACCTGTGATCCCAGCTACTCAGGAGACTGAGGCAAGAGAATCACTTGAACCCAGGTGGCGGAGGTTGCAGTGACCGAGTTCGCACCATCGTACTCCAGCCTGGGCGACAGAGTGAGACTTCGTCTCAAAAAGAATGAAAAATTAAAAAAGAAAAACCCCCCAAATGTCTTACAAATTCAGTATTCAGAAGACAAATAACCTAATAAAAAAGACAGGCAAAAAAACTGAATAGACACTTCACCACAGAAAATATACAGACTGTAACCAAGCATAAGAAGGTGCTCAACGTCATTAGTAATGACACTGAGACTACCCGGAAATACTCCCATATACCCACTACCAGTACAGCACCGGATCCGGAAACACTCCCATCTTCCCACTAACAGCACAGCACCGGACCCAGAAATACTCCCATCTACCCACTAACAGCACAGCACCGGACCCAGAAACACTCCCATCTACCCACTAACAGCACAGCACCGGACCCGGAAACACTCCCATCTACCCACTAACAGCACAGCACCAGACCCGGAAACACTTGCATCTACCCACTAACAGCACAGCACCGCACCCGGAAACACTCCCATCTACCCACTAACAGCACTGGACCCGGAAATACTCCCATCTACCCATTGCATCACCCACTAACAGCACAGCACCGCACCCGGAACACTCCTATCTACCCACTAACAGCACTGGACCCGGGAAATACTCCCATCTACCCACTACCAGCACAGCACTGACCCCGACACCCCATCTACCCACTACCAGCACAGCACTCGGACCCGAAACACTACATCTACCCACTAACAGCACAGCACCAACCCCAAATACTCCGATCTACCCACTAACAGCACTGGACCCGGAAATACTCCCATCTACCCACTAACAACACAGCACTGGCGAGACGTGGGGCCAGCTCGACTCACATGTACTTCGGTGGGAATGTAACGTGGCACAATCTCTTCGGAAAACAATTTGGCAGTTTATTAAGAAGTTAAACATCAACCTGCCAATATGCTCCTGGGCATTTTACCCAATAGAATGAAGGCGTATGTACACACAGTCTTGTATGTGATATTCACAGATTTATCTGTAATAGGTCTAAACTGGAAAGAACCCAATCTTTTATCAATGTCTTATTCATGGGTAAATGGATGAGCAAATTGTGGTATATCCATAAATACTACTCAACATAAAAAAAAGACAAACTGTGGATATCTGCAACAACACAGGTAAACCTCAGAATTACCACCACAGAGACAACAAGAGTACATACTGTATAATTCTATTTATATAAAATTCTAGAAAATGTAAACAGTAATCTACAGTGACCAAAGGCAGGTCTGTGTTTGCCTGGGGCTGGGGGAGGTCCGGGTTACAGGGAGAACAAGGGAGCTTAGGGGACGGATCTACCGATTGTCCTGATTGTGGCAATGGATCCCCAGGTGTATACACGGGTCACAGCTCGGCAAATTGTACACTTTAAACAGTCAATGATATGTCAGCAAATTGGTTAAAAAATGCAAATAAAATACCTCAACTTCAAGGTCCTGGCGCTTGGGATTGTGAATGAAGAAAGTGAAGTTTTCCTCCCACACTGGTTCATTGGTTTTGTATCGAATCTGGAAGAAATATCCAATTAGTTCTGCAACATTTTCTGTGGGAAAGGGCTACTCATTTTATGTGTTTAGAAGCTTAGAATGAAAAATAAAAAGAAAATAAATAAAACAAAAAACTAGAAGCTTAGGTTGACCTTCATTAAATTCCAAGACATGTATTTGCGGGTACACACTATTATATATTGACTGTGGACGTGTTGAAAAGATAACGAGATGGTCTAAAGCATTTAGAGTGTGTCATGAGGCCCCGGCTTGTGTGCCCACAGATAAAGGCTTCGTGTGCGTGGCCTGGCCTCGGTTCTGTAATGACTTCTGAACCCACGTAATAGCGCCTCCGCACTGAGGGGGATGCTGCACCTGGGCATGTCTCTAACACCGTTAACAGTTCAGTGAGTGACGGCCTCTAACTTTGGGTATGTCTTTTTTTTTTTTTTTGCAGGGGGTGGGGGACAGAGTCTTGCTCTGTCGCCAGGGTGGAGTGCAGTGGCGCAATCTCAGCTCACTGCAACCTCTGCCTCCCAGGTTCAAGTGATTTTCCTGCCTCAGCCTCCCAAGTAGCTGGGACTACAGGCACACATCACCATGCCTGGCTAATTTTTTTTTTTTTGTATTTTAGTACAGACAGGGTTTCACCATGTTGGCCAAGATGGTCTTGATCTCCTGACCTCGTGATCTGCCCGCCTCGGTCTCCCAAAGTGCTGGGATCACAGGTGTGAGCCACTGTGCCCGGCTTAAGTTTTGTATTTTTAGTAGAAATAAGGTTTCACCATATTGGCCAGGCTGGTCTCGAACTCCTGACCTCAAGGGATCTACTCGCCTTGGCCTCCCAAAGTGTTGGGATTACAGGCATGAGCCACCACACCTAGCCGCTAAAGTTATTTTTTAAAATGAACAGTATATTTCTTGCTATTTCAACTAGCTGGTTATCTATCAAATGACTGATTTAAGAAAAAAAGAGATGAAAAGCCCTGGTCTTGATGCCCACACTATCACACAACTGAATGTGTTTGCAACCTGGCATCCCCAGGTGAGACGGCAACACGGACAGCACCTGCATGACAGGCACCAATGCTGAGTCTGGGGGCCAGTGCCTTACCTTGCTCTCCTGGGCCGTGTGCCCAACTGACATCTGGACAACAGGATTTGGGTTGCTGCTTATTTTCTTCCCTGACTACCCAAAACAAACAGAAAACAGACAAAATAAATAAATACATTTTGAAATGGGTCTTAACTAAAAATGAAATTACTGGCTTATATAAGTAGTCATTTTTATTTATCTCTGATACTTAAGGGAATATCTGGGAACAATTTAATGGGAAAACATATGCTACACACACCCCAAACCATAACTACAAAACTTTCTTTTGTACACAAATTTTAAAGGTTAGGGCCTGGTATTTTTACAGCCAACTACTTTGGAAAACTGAATCTTTTAAAAATTCTTAATGTTAATTACAGTTTTCGAAAGTTCTTTTATTTACAAGGATAACGAAAACGAATAAAGTGCAATTAATGGAAACTAAAAACCATGAGGAAAGACAAATGTAAAAGAATGTAAAATTCAGAATATTTCTCTGGTGGGAATAAAAATAGTATAGCGTGTCAGATATATGGTTTTATATTCTCAACTTAGCGTCTTCTGTTTGAGCATTTTTAAGCTTTCATATATCAAATCTTGCTCACCAGCTGCTAAATACTTTTGACTGGAAGAATAAACATCAGTTTAGAATCATATTAAAATTAATCAGATACAAATATGAAGAAAAAATTCAGGAACAGGAAAAACAGTAAGAAGTGTACATGAGCACAGAGCTGATAGGAGAAAATAGTGAAACAGCACATATGTGTGACATGAGGTTTATTTATAACTTAGCCCCACAAGAAGATGCAGTTAAATGTCTGTGTTAGTGGAAATTAATTAGAAGGTTACAAAAATGTTTTTGAGTTAAATAATTTTAGAGTCAAACCTCAACACTACAGCAATGTCAGAAACAGGTGTCAAAATCCTATCATTATCGAAAGAAATATTACTAGCTCAAACCTACTGCGATAATCTATTTTCTGGTTCATCTTTCGGATGTGAATTCTGCAAAATGAAATAAGCACTGTTAAAAAAGTTTTCAAGGCTACAGATTACTGTGGCAGAGAATACTAATTTTCCCCCTAATTTTCTCCTTTTTCCTTTAATATTAGAATTCCCAAGTTTTAGCTGAGCACAGTCCTCTGTAAATAAAGATTTTGTTGGCGAACCTCCCTTGCAGTCAGGCACGGCAAAGTAACTAAGTTCTGGCCTCACAGGAGGCTGTGTCCCCTCGGGCCGGAGCCACAGGTAGCTCATGGCAGACCCCCAGGCCAGAACCCCCTGACTTCAGGGGAGAGGAACTACTGCTACTTCTAAGTCAGTTCTATTGTCACAGATACAGAAGCCAAGGCTGCTCCTTAACTAATAATATAAACACTTCATCTCTGAAAAAGTGGTCACCTGTTCCTCGAGATTGACTGCATCTTATCAATTTTAAAATGGATACTTTTTTCCCCCAACTTTCTAACATCTCTGAAAGCAAAATGAATCTTAAATTGATAATATATACCTTTTTGGGGGAGGCTGGCAGTAGTGAGAGTTGTCGCTGCCCTAACCAATTTATTTTGCTTCTATTTTCTGTTTAGGCATACCTGTCAGTGATATGATAAAACTATTTATCCTAAGCCTAAAATTCTCTAAGTATAAAATAAACACTGTCAAAACTTAACGGCATTTAAAATCTTAGTGCTTCATAAAATAATGATGAATCTTAAAATGGATGATGTTTTCAATTCTATGAAATAAGGTTAAATCATTAAGTTTTCTACTACAGTGCAATATTCAAAATACATCAGCACAAGTCAAAGGGACAAAGTATAATAAAAATATAAGGGTTAAGTCAGACTGTCTTGAACTTAAACCTCAAATCTATTTATCACTTAATTACTGAGACCTAAATACTGCATCTATCTGAACCTCAGTTTGCATGTTTACACAATGGGCATTTTTGGAATCTAAATTAGCTAATTTAATAACATATCAATTATGATATAATTATCCCAGCTACACTGGGTGCTTTCGTATGTATTATTTTATTTAATGTATTCAGCAATTCCATGAAGAGGATACTCCTCCTTCTATTCTACAAATAACACAACAGAGTGGATGAAGTGTCCTGTTGGAGGTCACACTGCTTGCTGAGTAGTTGGGGTGCAATTTAAATACAGTCTGATTTCAGGGCCTTCAGCCTTAATGTTATGTTCTCAGGTAGCAAAGAAGAGTCTTGATGTAATTCCTTCCAATGTTCTGGAGGGCACAGTGTTTCAACTACTGTGCTAACTAGTACTCCACAGGAGGAACCTCTAGTAACCCACACCTTACCTCCCTGGCGCAGGACAAAGTGAGGGTTCGCAACCACACTATAAAGCAGACTCTGCCAGTCTCCTGCACTTTTGAAATGTAACTCATTTTTTCCAGATGAGACTGGATAAAAATAGTTCCTGTTTCTTTAGGACAGACAGAATTTTCTTTAAATAATTACATTTAAAATTCCCCATGTCCTCCCAAAATTAAAGCCTAAAATGTTCAAAGAAATTAAAGAAAAAATAATAAAACATTAAGTCATAAGAAAACTTTTTAACCATTTGCCAGAGAACACATGTGGATGTCATATTTTAGGGAGTGGAGCTTAGTTTTCAATAGACCTCATTTAATGAAATTGAAAGCTTCTCAAAAGATCTATCACCCAAACCCAGCAGCACCAAAAGCCATGACGTTGGTGACTCAGAGACGACCCTAACTCAACATATTGGAAGAGGTGATATTAAAATGCATATTCACAGTTCACAAGGCATACCTTTAAGTCATGATTTAAACATCAGTTAAGATTTTAATTAGAACTTCTGTATCACAATTTTCACAAATTCGAATCCAATTAAAATAGATATTTAAATCACCTTAGAGTTGCCTAAAGCCAACAGGAAAATAATCTAATTTATCATACAGTACTTTATAAAATTTACCTTCAAAGTTGACTTAAATTAGTTCTAACTACTAATTATTGGATAACAAAAGTAAGGTATCTTCCACTAGACAATTAATTACTATATAAATATGGGAGGTAATTTGCCAATAAACTTATGAGACAAAGTATCATCTCTTTCAATATGTTTTCATTAACTCTGTGACCTGAAGGGAAAACAGTTTACCTTCAAAGCTCTCTGAGCTGCGGTCTTCTTCAAGACATCAGGGTTAAATTCTAATGGGTTACTCTTTCAAGTCAGAAGAAAACGAATACGCCAAGGGTTAATAAAACATGCAATGAAGTTTATGTAAGGTTAAAGACATGAGAATTTATGGGAATAAACAACAAAAATCTTTAAACAAAACCACCAGAATTACACAAACAACCAAACGCCATCTGTAAAATTCCTTATGCCCAAGACTTTATCTTAGAATGAACCTTTAATCCATGAATATCAAAAGACAGCTCCTTATCCCCTACCACTAATATTCTTTTACTATCCCCACCCTCTTGATCCTTTGTGATTTCAAAAATACAAGAGTGGGACTTTAGGAAAGGGTTCTATTTACTATTTTCTGCTGAATAAACCCCTAAAACACCAATCATAATGAAAGGTTTTATTTGAAGCACAATCAATGGGCCACAGTCACCCAAGTCACTCTCAGGCCAGGTCAGGTCCTGGAACAGCCGATGAGACGCACCTTCCCAGCCACCGCCCAGCAGAGGAGCTACTCCTCTTTGCTCCTTGTCCTTTTCAGGGGTAGGAGTCAGGCTGGCTGCATCCCCACAGAAGCTTCTTGGGCTCTAAATACAGTCCTATGATTACGGGTTTCATGTTTACTTTTATTGATTTTTTTTCCAATTTGTTAGTTTCTTGCCCTCAAAAGGACAAGACTGAGTTGTTTTGCAAGCTCCTTCTAGGACTAGTATTCAAGATTAAATAATTTATCATTTTAGTTGTAGTTAACTTCAAACTTGTGACATGCTGAACTGAATGTTTAATTTTTTTTTTTTTTTTTTGGTAAGCAAAAGATTTTATAATGAAGAAAGATGAATAACTAGCCTCTCAATCTTCTATGACTGGCAGGCTGGGCCAGGAGAGAAGATGGAACATGTGGCCAGGCAGGAATTCACATGACCCTAAAGCTGCCGGTGGAGCTCTCAAAAGTCCCTGGATCTACTGTGTCCATATCTGGGTGGAGCCTGGACAAGCGCATCCTTCACACACTTCCCAGGGGCTCATACACAATGAGGATGGGAACTCTGCTGTCCAGAAGGACTCACATTCTTCACATATACTACAAACCCTTCCTGAAGCTCACTTTTGGATAGATATGGCCTGTACCAAAGACACTTATTATTCTAACATGCATCAAGTAAAGTAAAACAAGGAGAGAGGCTGTGGTGTGTAGGTAGGGGTTGCAGGAGAAGCTGTGTAAGGTGGTGGACAGCTGTGTGGCTCTGGGGATGAGGCAGACTAGATCATGCAAGTGCTTCAGGCAGGTGCCCTCTTGGGAGGCCTCTGGAGTTACCCATCTTGCAGCCACGGGCCACTCACCATCAGGAGGCAGTGGGAGCCACCTGTGTTTTTTGTTTTGTTATTTATTTATTTTTTTAAGATGGAGTCTTGCTCTGTCACCAGGCTGGAGTGCAGTGGCGCCATCTCGGCTTACTGCAACCTCCACCTCCCGGGTTCAAGCGATTCTCCTGCCTCAGCCTCCCGAGTGGCTGGAACTACAGGCGTGCGCCACCACACCCGGATAATTTTTTGTATTTTTTTTTTTTAGTAGAGATGGGGTTTCACCATGTTGGCCAGGATGGTCTTGATCTCCTGACCTCATGATCCACCCACCTCAGCCTCCCAAAGTGCTGGGATTACAGGCGTGAGCCACCATGCCTGGCCTTTTTTTTTTTTTAAATGACAGCCAAAATAACTTGCACAAAGCTCCTAACATCATTAGGCCTAGGGGCCTCCACAGTGGTGGCTATTATCCAGCTAGCACTGTTATGTTTAAGGCATCAGTGCAAATACCACTCATCTCAGATGAATTCCATATACAGACTGATGAATCTATAAACTTAATAAAGTGACAATAAATGCACTTTGCACTAGGGTGGAGTGGACAGGAGGCGCCAAGCACCCAAACTCTGGGTCCACGCTGAGTTCCAATCCCAGCTCTGCCACGCACTGACCCCGTGCCTGGGAATCTCTAGTCTGTGTCATCTGGGTTCTTAGTGTTGTCTTAATTTCCTTATCTGTAAAGTGATAATGAGGGTCTGGGGATTAAACATGCAGCACCCTGGGACCCCTGCCTGGCTCCTGCAAAGTGCTCAGTAAATATGCTGTCATATCAGGCTTAAGATGCCAAAGCTGGCCACTATAAGTCAGAGAAAGTCCTTCTTGTTCAAGCCTGAAATTAAAACCCAGGATTTCATCAAAAGAAAGGGGGCAAAGTCCTAAGAGTCCACATTATGAAGAGGTCGTTTCCAGCCTGGGAGAAATTTCTGTTGTCCTAAGTTTGCAGATGGGGATCGCTGGTGGTAATGTACTCCTGGAAGTGGAATTCAAGGTGCTTTTGAGTGGGTAGGAAGTAAGACAGCACTGGGTTGCTGGCCATCAAAGCCTTCACCAGTGACAAGGGTCTCAGCCCTCTGGGGAAAACTGGGGAAGCACTGATCTGGCTTCATGTTGAAACCCAATGGGTGGAGAAGAAGTTCAAATTTGTTTTACAGAACATCTTAGGTGATGCGTATGTTCTAATAAGGAAGTACACTGTGCAACTTTGATAATGCTGCAGGAAAGCTGATTTTGGTAACCCTCCTGATACGAGGTCAGCGATATTTCCTTTCTGCAAAAGGAAGCGGTTGCAGAATGGGAAAAAGCAACTTGGAAAAGCTATTGGAGATAAACTAACAGTTTACACAGTGAAGCCAGTGAAGCTATCTTGTCATGTTTATACTTGTCTATGATGAAATTTTCTGCTATCACCAGAAGCAAAAAATTATTTTCTTAAAAGTAACAGAATATGCTGCTATTATGTACTGCTGACCCCATTTTGACTTTAAAAAGGCCTTAGACATATATGAGTAGACAGCCAGACAGACCACATGGTTACCATTTACTATTGGTGTGACTGAACAGCTTACCTAACCCTTCAGGGTCTTGATTTTCCTCATCTGTAAGATAGGGCAAAATACCTGTTCTTCCAATGAGAAGACTTGGACACGGGGCAGGGAACATCACATACTGGGGGCTGTCAGGGGGTGAGGGGCTGGGGGAGGGATAGCATCAGGAGAAATACCTAATGTAAATGATGAGATGTAAACCAACATGGCACATGTATACCTATGAATTGAACCTGCACGTTGTGCACACGTACCCTAGAATTTAAAAGTAAAATTTAAATAAATAAATAAACAAAATACCTGCTCTTCAAGTTTTGCCCCTTACTCTTCCCCTACTTTAAAAAATAAGAATAGGCAGGGCACGGTGGCTCATGCCTGCAATCCCAGCACTCTGGGAGGCCAAGGCGGGCGGATCACGAGGTCAGGAGATCGAAACCATCCTGGCTAACACGGTGAAACCCTGTCTCTACTAAAAACACAAAAAATTAGCCGGGCATGGTGGTGGGCACCTGTAGTCCCAGCTACTTGGGAGACTGAGGCAGGAGAATGGCGTGAACCTGGGAGGCGGAGCCTTGCAGTGAGCCGAGATTGCGCCACTGCACTCAAGTCTGGGCAACAGAGCGAGACTCCGTCTCAAAAAAAAAAAAAAAAAAAGAAAGAAAGAATAAACTGAGAATGCATAGGGAAATCCTTTGGAAACAGAAATGAAAACTCTACAAAAATGCAAAGCGCTATCAATACTCTATTAAAGGACAACGGGGCTGTAAGAATCTCACTGTCGCTTGGATGAAGTCTGACCTTCTAGGCTAATGACTAAGACGCTGTGGCCCCCTGTGGCTCTGAGGCAGGTGAAAACGGCTCTCTACTAAAAACACAGAGAACAGAACAGGAATCCAGACATACAGACCACAGGCAACATATGATGAGATGGGAACAAAGACACACTCAATTATCCACTCCGGGAAGTTCTTTATGTGTCTTAAAAAAAGTGAATCACAAACTTAATATAGTTTTCTCCTCCCTTAGGAGCTCTGGGTAAACCATGTGAGTGAAGGCAAATTTTTATTTAAAAAATAGGTGAATTTCTATCTTCACGTGACCATCCCCAAGCGACTGAGAGTTGATTACACAGCAGGGTTTTCAAAGAAGGCCCTAGTTCTGACTGTTGCGTGTTTGATCAGGAAGGGATAGCAGGCCGGGCATAGTGGCTCACACTTGTAATCCCAGCACTTTGAGAGGCCGAGGCGGGTAGATTGCCTGAGGTCAGGAGTTGGAGAATAGCCTGGCCAATATGGTGAAACCCCGTCTCTACTAAAAATACAAAAATTAGCCAGGCGTGGTGGTTCGTGCCTGTAATCCCAGCTACTTGGGAGTCTGAGGCAGGAGAATCACTTGAACCTGAGAGGTGGAGGTTGCAGTGAGCCAAGACCGCGCCATTGCACTCCAGCCTGGGCAAGAAGAGCAAAACTTCATCTCAAAAAAAAAAAAAAAAAAAAAAAGGAGGGGATAGTAGATTTTAAAACAGTTTTGTGAAAGTTTACAAAAAAATTTACATCTCACATTGAGACGAACCACAAGAAAATGAATTTTAATCATTATGGCTTCATTTCTTCCTCAGGAGAGGTTTTTTTTAATAAGCCAGCAGCGGCTGAGGAATGGAGGACCGCTTCTCTACTTGCCAGGGTTGTTCATCTCATGGTCAGATGTTCTCGCCAATGTTACAACGGTGTTACAGTTCACAAAACAAGCACAAAATAAATAAATACACAATGATTAAAATCATGCAAGAAAATAAAAGCATGCGACATCAGTCCACCGCCAGCCAACTGCGTTAGAAGTTCCAGTCCACATTCTGGCAGTTTCCAAACAGACAAAGGAAGAAAGAACCCCGGAGGACTCACAAATAGTGCTCTATAGACTGAGGCGGTATTTTCACAAAACACTAGTCCCGACGCTCGCCTCTCTTTTAAGTAGCCACACCCAAAGTTTCCCTCGTAGATGCTCTTAGGGCAGTGGAGCCAGGGGAGAAAGCAGAGAATGGTGGATTGTGGTCAATGAGAGCACCAGGAGCACCACAGACAGTGCAGAGGCAGAGGCAAAGAACCCCACAGCTCGCGGGACGCCCCTTAATCCAGTGCTGGGCACGCCGCGACTCTGCAAAGATCCTTTGCCTCTGACAGCCACAGCACATTCCATGCACCAAGTGCCCTTTTAACAGACGATCAATACATTCTCTTTGGGTTGTTTTGTTTTTGTTGTTGTTGTTTTTTTTTTTTTTTTTGCTTATGTGACATTATTCAAATTTCAATTTAATGTGACAAAACACACAGTTCTAAAGAGGCCTAATCCTTTATAGCCAATTCACTGATACTATTCTCTCTACCCTAACATAGAAACACTTCCATCAGGCATTACGGAAGCCTTTATAACAAACATTACCATGGCTAAAAGCAAACAATTCTACTGTATAAAAATTCTGTGGAAAGATTAAATATGTAATGAAATAACTTTTTCCAAATTAAAATTGTAACAGATAAAGTCACAGACTTTAGACTGGAAGACTGATCAAATACTAAGGTAAATACTTTAAGAGAAATATAAGAATTCTTTTAAGAAGTTAAAATCGGTCAAGAAAGCTTCATTGAAATAAACAGTGCAATTATATACAATTACATACAACAAAGAGTACAATCACATCACATCCTCCCAGGATGAAATATAAGTGATCAATCATATCTTAATTGTAGATCATTTTAAATAAAATGCACTGGTGCACAAATATTTACTTCATTTCTGTGTAAAGCTCAAGGAAATGCACAGTTCTCAGAACGTGGAAGGTGCTGGAGGAAGCCAAGGGTGTGCATCTCGTGAACTATGGAGTGTAGTCTGACCACGGCAAGGCAAGACTACAGGGGACTGAAAGGCTGATAACTTAGGTCCAGGGTGTGTGCTGAGAAGGGAGTTAAACGTTTCTTTGCCTTCTTGTCTATCTCCCTGGTAAACACTGACAAAGGGAGACAAGACACAGGAAGACAATTTATGTACAAATGCACTCGGGGGATGAGTATTTACTGTAGAGAGGCATTATGCAATAAACAACTTGGGGAGGAAAGAAACTTCTGCACTGGGTGGCAACAGTCTTTCTTCCAACAAAAGTGGCTGTGGACATGATGAAATAAAGACTGAGTGCCTAGTCAACAAGTGTACGGGCACTCCAAAATCATCAAACAAGATGGTATGACTAAGGACCACACCACTATCTTCACTAGCAGGGTTGAAGGTAGGATGACGGGACAGCACACTGTGCCTCACAAGATTGAATTAGTAAGATCTTCCTTCTCCGTGGTTACAGTTATTACCTATAAAATGATATTTTACAGTTTTTCTCCACGAATGAACAATTCTGATACAAACAAAAGTATATGCTTCTAGGCACAGAGTGTCTTGTATCTGGCAGTAGGTCATTCCGAGACATGGCTTCCTTTTGTTCTGCAAGAAACATCCCAGGCACCCAGAGGCCGGCTCGCTCATACAGCAGCACCGTTCTGCCACCTAATGTTTACCCCAGGGATTGCCAAGGCCCAGCAGCTCACGCACGGCCCTGCGACAGCCAGGATGAGTCTGGATTTTGTAATCAGAGCTGCTTCATTTTATTCCCATTCCAAATAGAGACAATTTCCATCCTAAGGCAACTAAGTTTTAATACTTAGTGATTTTCTAAGGAGTTATCTTCTCCTCCTAACCACTATTCATCTTCTTTTCCTATATACTGGATAAATCCAGCTAAATGTATAAAGAGAAATGTATGTACTCCCAGAGCAAACACTAACTTCTCCCTCTCCACTGCCGCTCTCCTGCACTTGGATGTGAAGTGAAAACACACGACGAGAACAGGTGGCACAGAGTGCTGCCAAAGCAGTAGTTACGAGCAAGAGCAGTTGCTGGGAAATAAGCACCCAAAGGTGTTACCACTGTGTTACCTACCGGCAGGTTCCTTGCTGAATCCAAGTACAAGATCAGCAATGCAGAAGAAAGACCGTCGTTGGCTTGGTCTTTGTCAGCTTTGATGTCTGTTAGCACCTAAAAGGATAAGAAAAAAGCCTTAGCAGCCATGTTTCCACAGGATTAGAGACCATTTCTATCTGATTGTATCATGTTGATTATGCTAAAAATAAGAAAGGTGAGAAAGCATCCAATCCATGTAATAGAGACAGAACTAAAACAATAAATACCTTTTAAATAACAAGACTATTATTCCATATATAAGTCAATTAAATGAAGCACTCTGGTGATTTCTGGCTCTAGAAATCCCTGCACTTTAACAAGCACAAAACTGAAGATCTGATAAAACAGGCATGAATGACCTATACATTTCATTTCTAAAATTCTATTATCTTTAATTTATCCGATGCTATTGTACTGACCTAATACACAATAATGAAAATTACTGCTATAACTGCTAAAAAAAATCAAGTAGCAACACAACTGAAAGAGACCGATCTCAGTTACGAGGAGTAGTTGGTTAGTTTTCAAGAGAACACACTCCACAGCACCTTATCCAGGTTTGATGCATTTGGCATTAACGTGAGCCACTCCAGTCTCAAATGTAGCTTCCCCTTGGGAACCTCGTCCAGAGTGAACCACTGAAGAGAAAAAATGTTTATGTTCAGCAACAGTTCTTCTGAATCAAAAATCCAAATTAAACCCAGTCTCTACAAATGTTCCATGCTGCTCACTAACCGTGAGGCATCCACAGTTCTCAGTAACGTGAAGGCTGAGCCTCACCATATCCAGCTCTACACTGTGGGTGCCAGTGACCGCACGTTTGGAGGCGATGACAGCAGCAGGGGTGAGCACACCATTCTAAGTGCTTTACACGCACCAAGCCCTCGACCCCAACGGAAACCCTAAGCAAGTACTAGTATCATTCCTACTTTACACATAAGAATTCAAATGTTTTCCAGCACTATCTAGAGATAGTAAAGTCTGGTATGAATAGACTTCTTTTTTTGGAGATAGGGGTCTTGCTATGTTGCCCAGGCTGGGCTCAAGTGATCCTCTTGCCTCAGCCTCCCTCGCAGCTGGGACCACAGGCCTACACCTGTGTCTGTAGGCAAGCATGCTCCACCAATGGCATTTAATGGAATGTACAGGACAAGAGATAATACAACATTGATTCCAAATACTGAATTTCAGTATCAAACGATTTAATCTGTTTGTTCTAATTCATCACTCTATACTAATAAAATAGTATACACTTGTATCAGCTTAAAAGTCACAAAATAATTAATCAAAGATGCTCCTCAAACGCTAAGTGATAGACGCCATGAGCAGAACTATCCATCCAGTGCCTGGCACACTCAGGAAAACAAGATGTCATGGCCAATGAATGCTGAACACTCAAGGGAGGGAAACGTGTGATTATGAAAGCAGCAGAATTTAACATTTTTGTTTAATTTTTCTTCATTTATCTAAATCTTACCCATCTTTCAGAAGCCACCACAAATGTTTCCTTTTTGATTCTTTTTATTCTGATAGCAATAAAATGGTGGAAATCGAGTCTCCTTACCATGAATTCCCACTGTCTCTACAGGCATCTCTCACGAGAGACGCCTCACTGGCCGCACTGTGCCTTCTCCAACCACCCGAAAATCTCCATCACTAGGGGGCATCTCACACAGCTCTGCCCTTAATCCTGCAGGGAATCGCTTGTTTGTCTGCAATAACGTCAGTTTATGCTTCATATCCATAAGGATTCCCAGCATATGGTAGGTACTCAACACGCACCTGAATGGACTCTTAAATTTCTTTCTTTCATTTGGTATTTCTAAAAGGCCTAAATTCTTAGTATTTGTGACGTAAATGCCGTTCATGTCATACTAATTAGGATTCCTGCACTGTGTGATGAGAAGGGGTGGTTCGTGGCTGCTCCGGCACAGGGCAGGGACTCAGTCAACAACTGTCAATAAACCAACACTCCAGGGAAACTTACTTCATCTAAAAGGCGCTCCTTTTCAACTTCAATGAGATCAATCATAAGACTATAAAAATAACAATACGACAACTTTAGAACATAGAAACACATTTCTTCCTGAAACAACCTTAAGCATTTGTCTATGAACAAGCACTCCAGAAATGCAACAAAACGCTAATAATTTAACAAGGAACAGACTATTCTTCCACAAGCTTCCTCCAGCTCACCCCCAGTGTCAGGAGAGTAAGAGTGAGGTGGAGTTTCTGTGAGCTCAGAATATTGAGTTTGACCCAGCTGAGGTTAGAGCTGTAAAACAAAAACACAAACAACTCATCTTCCCTACAATATTATATGTATCAAAAAATGTTAAAAGCATCTCAACCTTCTTATTTTATACATCCTCTCGGTAGGGTTGTGTGTTACTGTGGATTCCTCACTTGCACAGTGAATGCTAACCTCACCTTCCCCCACCCTTGCTTCAGGCTCTAGACTCACATTGCATCGAGCCCGATGGACGCCCTTGCATCGAGTCTGATGGACGCCCTCACTCGGTGCGTCCGAGAGGAGGTCCATTCCAGTTCCCCTAAACCTCCTGTACTTCCAAGATTGGCACCACCCCCAGATGCCAGATACAACTAGATGGCATGATTATACTCCCACTTCTTCTTGTAGCCTCTTCTGCCCCCTACAATCTATGTCTACACTGCCTTCTCTCGTCCTGGTCTATGACACACTCTCCTATATGGTCTGCCAGTTTCTAAGCTCAGCCCTCGACAATCCAATCCACACAGCGATTTTCCTAGAATGAGCACCTGATCTATCCCTGTCCAGCTTAAAATCTCTCAATTGTTCCTAGTTGTCCTAGGAAGTCTTATGAACTCTGAAGTCAGGCCATGCAAGGCCATTCTTCATGAGGTATGAACATCTCCAATGTATTCTATCCTACATCTTTTTTGCCACAATTAATTCAGTCAAATAATAACTTAATTAGTTAAATTAGAAACACAATTGATATTAACAAATGGTGGTCAAACCACCAATTTAAAAGTTTATTTTTAAAGCTATACTAGTTGTTCAATTGAAGTGAACAAATCAATTTATTTTCCCAATGTGAATTACTATATCCTGAAAAAATCAATCCAGCAACTCAAAAACTTAAAAAACCCATTTCTGCAATCTGGAATAGAACTCTCCACTAGAACTCAGCACGGGGGAGGTTCTGCATGTAGCTATTAAGCCTTGTAAAGAAAGTGCCCCTCAGAAAGAGCTTTTAATTTATTTAACTTTAATTAACTTAAGGCTAGTGGCTGCTGTAATGGACAGCACAGATCTAGAAGATTCACTTCTCTTAAATGTGAAACTTTTAGGGATCAAAATGTTTTAAGAAATCCAAGGTGAAACAATTGTTATATCTAAGAACCATTTAATGAATATATAACAAGCATACAAATGTATTTTAAAACATATTTTTGATTATTTAAAAAAAAAAAAACTGACCCCATGCCCTCCTCCAATAACCACAAAGGGTTTTAATTACCTTCCTAAAAAGTCATCCTTGTCTGGGTCTTCATCAAAGAGCTCAATCTCTAATTCTTGTCCAGGATGTTCATACACTAAAGCCTAAAACATCAATGGTGAGTAGTTAAGCGCATTTTTACTAATAGAGTCATACACTGAGTATGATGACTGATGACTGTGGTAAATATGACCATGTACTTTTTCTCTCGTGGTAAATCCTTATTTATTTATTTATTTTTGGAGATGGAGTCTTGCTCTGTCGCCCAGGCTGGAGTGCAATGGCACAATCTTGGCTCACTGCAACCTCTGCCTCCTGGGTTCAAGCGATTCTCCTGCCTCAGCCTCCCGAGCAGCTGGGATTACAGCACGTGCCACCACATCCAGCTTATTTTTTACTCTTAGCAGAGACAGGGTTTCACCATGTTGGCCAGGCTGGTTTCGAACTCTTGACCTTAAATGATCCACCCACCTTGGCCTCCCAAAGTGTTGGGATTACCAGTGTGAGCCACCGCACCCAGTCAGTAAATTCTTTTTAGAACACTTAATTTTTTATTGTCGAGTCACCCACACCTCTTGATGACGAGAGGTCACTGAAACACCTGCCACACAGTAACAGTCTACCGCGCTTGTTTCTAGGGATCCCGGACCGTGTCTACTGCGCTTGTTTCTAGGGATCCCGGACCGTGTCTACCGCGCTTGTTTCTAGGGATCCCGGACTGCGTCTACCGCGCTTGTTTCTAGGGATCCCGGACTGCGTCTCGGTAAGTCAAGTTCAATCACTCCAAAACAAGGTCATGGTATGCCACCCACAAGCTTGCTGCAAGGTAGGAGACAGACCAAAGATTCAGGACACATCGCTCTAGTCCTGAAGTGGCTCCACTCAGATGCTATCTTGGAATAACCACAAGTTATCTGCTTAGCACCACTCAGGGTAAGAAACTGGCAAGAGACCAGACTGACAGAGGAGTCGGGGAGAGGAAACCGGTGGAGTATAAACCGTATGACTGTCCTGAAGGGCAATTCTACAGATATGTCAGTCCTTTAAAAACTGGTGGAGTATAAATCACGTGACTCTCCCGAAGGGTAATTCTACAGAGATATTTCAGTCCTTTAAAAATGCGTAACTCTTGATCCAGCAATTTCACTTTAAAGAGCTTTTATTTTATCTGGGGAAAACTTGGCTGAGTGAAGAAAGAGACACTCACATTCTACTTGTACAGCACTGTTTGTAACGCCGACCTGAATGCCCTAGGCCTCTCTGGGTAAACAGATGAAGGTGACTATTTAATGGAATGGTTATTAAAAATCATGTAGATCTCTATTCATTGACATGTGAAGATGTCCTTGACATCTTTTTAAAAAAACTTGCAAGGAGGTCTATAACTAACCACATTTTTGTGTTTACTGCATTAATAACTGCACATAACATTTTATACTTAGAAAGACAAGCTACTCACGTTATGAAAAATATTTTGCTGATCATTTAGTATGATAGCATCACATAATTAAGGTTTAAAACATTACTTGTTGGCATGACAAGAATGTTGTGTAGTAGGGAGAGAACATATGACACTTTTTAAATGTGGGAAATTAAACAAGGAACGTTGAAATGATGGCCTGAATTAGCCACAGTCCCACATGACCATGCTGGAATGAGAGCTTGGCCACTCCACTCAGGGCTCAGCCCACCGCCCCAGCGACACAGCAGACACGACACCCTACCTCATAGACTTCATTCCACTTTGGACTGAGGTTCTCCTTGATGACTTTGCTTTGGAAGATTTGGTTGCCAACTCTAATGATTCCATAGGGGTCTGACTTTCCCTTGACAAGTCCCTTAAGGTAAGTATCTTTCCCCTGAAGGTCCTGAGCTTCAATAAAATGTATCCTTAGAACACCCTGAAAAGAAGAACAAACTGAAGTTTAGACCGTTGGCTGGCTCGTTTAACTGGCGTGGAAGATAGCTACGTGTCTGGCTCTGTCTCAAGAACTGGGCGTGCAGAGGGAACAAAGACCCTCCTCTGGTGCCGATTACGTCCCAGCAGCAGGGAAACGCGGTAAGCGTGTACAGGAGAAGCAGGTGCTGAGAAAAACAAGAGCAGGACAAGGCAGCACTGCCCAGGTGGGGCTGGCTCAGAGAACAGAGGGGCTTCTGGAGTGATGACCCCTCCACAGAGACACGAGGACGGGCAGCCCCACGCGGCGCTCCTGGCAGAGGGATGCCGAGTGCAGAGGACCCAGCAGAGCACTGTGCTTATCTCAAGGAGGCTGGTGACACAGGCCACCAAGCTGTACTAGATCCTGGTGCTACAGTGAGTAATAACACGAGAGGTTGTATCAGACCTGTCACTAAGCATTCCTGGTGCTACAGTGAGTAATAACACGAGAGGTTGTATCAGACCTGTCACTAAGCATTAGACATGCAGTAACTATGCTGTTCCATTTTTAGAATAATCCTATGAAATAGTGTCATTAAACTTATTTTAGAGAAGAAAACGCAACTTTGAAATATGTATTATTCATAGACTTCAAACATACTCTTGGCCAGATGCGGAGTGAGTAATAACACGAGAGGTTGTATCAGACCTGTCACTAAGCATTAGACATGCAGTAACTATGCTGTTCCATTTTTAGAATAATCCTATGAAATAGTGTCATTAAACTTATTTTAGAGAGAAGAAAACTGCAACTTTGAAATATGTATTATTCATAGACTTCAAACATACTCTTGGCCAGATGCGGTGGCTCACGCCTGTAATCCCAACACTTTGGAAGACTGAGGTGGGCAGATCACTTGAGGCCAAGAGTTCAAGAACAACCTGGCCAACGTGGCAAAACCCCATCTCTACTAAAAATACAAAAAATTTAGCCAGGCATCGTGGCACATGTCTGTAGTCCCAGTTACTAAGGAGGATGGGCTGTAAGAATCACTTGAACCCAGGAGGCAGAGCTTGCAGTGAGCTGAGATGGCGCCACTGCACTCCAGCCTGAGCGACAGAGCAAGACCCTGTCTCAAAACAAACAAACAAACAAACATAGTCCTTTCCCTAAAATACTGTTTTATTGATAAAAGAATAAAAAATTCCCTCTTATTTCTTCCAAGGCAAAGAAAGATGCTCAAGTCACCTTTGGGTAGGAAGCATTCTGCCCCCACAGATCCTTTTATAAAATTACAGAGTGATGGCCGGGCGCGGGGCACGGGGACTCACGCCTGTAAGACCAGCACTTTGGGAGGCCAAGGCGGGTGGATCATGAGGTCAGGAGATCGAGACCATCCTGGCGAGCACAGTGAAACCCCGTCTCTACTAAAAAACAAAAATTAGCCAGGCGTGGTGGTGGGTGCCTGTAGTCCCTGCTACTTGGGAGGCTGAGGTGGCAGAATGGTGTGAACCCAGGAGGCAGAGCTTGCAGTGAGCCGAGACTGCACCACTGAACTCCAGTCTGGGTGATAGAGCGAGACTCTGTCTCAAAAAAAAAAAAAAATAAATAAATAAATAATTAAATTACAGAGTGATATTCCTCATTCAATCAGCACAGGAATACATGTCCCTCCACAGAGGAACACACTTCAAAAACTCGAAGCAGCTCTTGTTTATATTTTCATACGTCTAAAGTTGGGATAATCTGGCCACATCTACTGAGGGCACTGGCTGTTAAGCCCCTGTAGCTAAGGGCAGCCAGATCCAGGCACGCTCAGGTGCTCACCTGTACTCAGAGCATGAGAGACTTACGTGCAGAGGAGCACGAGGATTTCTACATGTAAAGGGATTCCTGCATTTCCAGAGGTGAGAGTCAGAAGTTAAGGAAAAAAGACATTCTTTTCTAATATACAGCATCACATTAAAGCTGTTGAATGCCAATGATATAACCAATTTGAGCACCAAATTAACTGGCATATTGTTACTTTTAAAAAATATAAGGATGCCTCTGCGTGTCTGTTAACTTGTGCACCGTTATTTAGATCTAATTAAACCAGAAAAAGTAAAAAGGCATCAGGAGAAAGTGATCTGCTTCTACTTCAGTGAACAAAAATAAAAACAATATACCCACTGAAACAGGACCAACTTACCACGTTCTGTTTCAGTAAAAATAAATAACGTGGTGTGCACTGCTTACTATAGACACCACCACGATGGTAATGCTCACTTGGCTTCTGGAGTCCAGAGTCCAGGTAGACTAAACAGATACGGGATCCAACACCTGAGTGACTGAAAAGCTCTCCTTAGCCCATGAGAGATCCTTCACTCCACCCACCCCTTCCACAGTCAGCAGAAGGAATCTCATGTTCTTAACTACCTTGTAGTTATTTATTTCGTTTGCTCAAATGAAGGTGACATCAGTATCTGCAACCAGCTCTGTGTGCCAGGTGCTGTCTCATTTTACAGACGATGAAACTGTGGCCCAGCCACGCCAAGTAATGTGCCCACAAAAGCAAAGCTACAGCTAAACTCAGGAGCTGCGACAAAAATCTAGTTCTGTTCTTTCCACTTTATCCAGGTCAGCTGTTATATAAGTGCCGCTTCTACCAGGCTACTCATTAAATGGCTTCAGAGGCAACGGAATTCTAACAGCTGAGAGAAAATATACGAATTATTACACGAAGCTCTCATCATGACTGCCAGGAACACTGGTGCCTGTTGCTGAGGGCGGTCCATTTTAATAAAAACAAACGCAGTATGTGCGTCTGAGGTAACTAAGATGTCTGTGCCATGTACCGCTGCAGATTTAAATCCCTACCGGCCCCTGGGAGGAATACAGCTCTGGGGGGAGAACCATCCTGCTGTCTCTGTGACGAGCTTTAGGGTCAGCGCCCATCAGTCAAGTCTCTTAAGGAGAGTGGCGGACGAGCAACAGTCAAGGCATCAAGACGCATGCGGCAAGCTGGCCGCTGGGGAGACCAAGAGTCACAGCACCCAGTGCCACACCCACAGGCAGCCCAGATCTGTCTTTAAATGTGAGTGGATGCCAGGACACGCTTACCTTTGGTACAGGAAACCGCAGCTGAGCTATTTGAACTTCACTGACAAGTGGAACGGTGATTCGATTGGGAAGCACCAGATAATTTGATATCATATCCGAAATGATAGTATCTGATAAACCACTGTTCGTTGGGAGACAAAAAGAGCAAAAGGACTATCAGACATGCGAACACTCCTCTCAACACCGACAGCAGACTTACCACAAATATGATGTAATGTCCCATTTATTTACAGAGTAGGAGTTATCTCATTTCTCCCGTGCAGTATTTACAACCCTCATTTCAATACTTTAGCTGTGATACTACTATGGAGACGATGATACAGAATTTATTTGTAGAGCACAAGGTAAAATTCTAGTTATTGCACAAGTAATTGTGGTTTTTGCAAATAAAATGGCAAAAACCACAAATACTTTTGCACCAACCTAATACACTTCATAATTTCCTAAACAACACTTAATGTATTCCTACTTCATCGCAGATTGTATACTTATTTACTAAAATACACTTCATTGACTTTTTTAACATAAAATATTTCAAACATACATATAAGTACAGAGAATAACATTCATTGGCCCATTCCTGTTTATACACACATCCCATTTCTCCATTGTTGTATACTCGCCCCCACTGAAGGAGAACTTACTTTGTTCTCTCTTACCCATTATCCAACACTTTGAGTATTGAACACATTAATAATTTTGAAATACTATACATCACTGCACAGCAAACTAAGTAAAGTGAATACAATTGCTTAGGCTAACGGAAAAAATATACTAGCTTTTTTTTTGAAACAGAGTTTTGCTCTTGTTGCCCAGGCTGGAGTACAATGGCATGATCTCAGCTCACTGAAACCTCCAACTCCCGGGTTTAAGCAATTCTTCTGCCTCAGCCTCCCAAATAGCTGGGATTACAGCCACGTGCCACCATGACTGGCCAATTTTGTATTTTTAGTAGAGACAGGGTTCACCATGTTGGCCAGGCTGGTCTCGAACTCTTGACTTCAGGTGATCCGCCCGCGTTGGCCTCCCAAAGTGCTGGGATTACAGGCGTGAGCCACCATGCCTGGTCAAAGATGTACTTTTAATATATCTTTTTTGGCCGGGCATGGTGCCTCATGCCTGTAATCCCAACACTTTGGGGAGGCCAAGGTGGGAGGATCACTTGAGCCCAGGAGCTGGAGACTAGCCTGGGCAACACAGAGCGAGACCCCCTCATCTCTACTTAAACAAACAAACAAACATATATATGTCCTATTCTTTAGGGTAAACGTGAGAATTAAATAATGCGTACGTGGCAGCACTTTTAAAAACATTTATAAACGTAAGTTTCATTGCTGTATAACACCTTTATCTGAACTGTGAAGTTGCAAAAGTACTTTGCTTCTTGCCAGTAATGTTTTAGATGCTAAAATTATTAACATAAATAATTACAAACAAAAATATCCACTGAGGCAGTGATAATCATGAACATTCAACAAATAATGTCCAAGCACCCACTGCAAGACAGTATCCACATGTGATGACCCAGCACCTCAAGGACTTTTCAGTTTAATATGGAAAAAAAACTTGAAAAGCCCCCCAAAAGAAAAACCGTATGTAACACTACTCTACTTATGGACAGCTCAGTTATTCAGACAGTTAATACTCCCACAGAGATTCGGAGGGCTTCAGCCAGCAGACAATGGCTGCGTGTTCACCACGCAGGGGCAGGACCCACCCACCTTTCTCCCACACAGACTCCCGGCCTCGGAGGCCACAGCAGCTGACAGAGCTCCCTGGGGGGGTCCCCTCGCTGTGCCTCCTCACCTCACTACGCCCCGCACGCCCCCGAACTGTCAGGGTGTGGATGCTGCTCCCTTAGGTCTTCACAGAAGCATCTCCTGCAGTGGTTACTTTCTTGGGAGTCACTATTTCCCTGTGTGTCCTTTGGAACCACGACTGCTCATCACCTGTATTTTGTTTCCACCATAATCTTCGCCCTTCTCACACCTTCAACACTCAGCTCAGAGCTGCTTATCAAAACACAGCAGATGTTTAACAGGGACAGCCCAAAGTCACGGTGCAGTGAAGGAACTCAGGCGTTGTTCTTACACTACAACCCTGGGGTTTCTTTTTGTAATCAATCAATACAGCATGTGAATTCAGGCGTTGTTCTTACACTAATCATCACAGCATGTGAATTCAGGCGTTGTTCTTACACTACAGCCCTGGGGTTTCTTTCCGTAATCAATCAATACAGCATGTGAATTCAGGCGTTGTTCTTACACTACAGCCCTGGGGTTTCTTTCCGTAATCAATCAATACAGCATGTGGATGCTCATTTTATAAAGACTGCTACAAGATTTCATTATGTTAAGTTCATATTTATTTATTTTTTAAATTTCTTTCTTTTTTGAGACAGAGTCTCACTCTGTTGCCCAGGCTGGAGTGCAATGGCGTGATCTTGGCTCATTGCAACCTCCACCTCCCGAGTAGCTGGGATTACAGGCGTGTGCCCATGCTCAGCTGATTTTTGTATTTTTAGTAGAGATAGGACTTCACCATGTTGGCTAGGCTGGTTTCAAACTCCTGACCTCAGGCGATCGACCTGCCTCAGCCTCCCAAAGTGCTGGGATTACAGGTGTGAGTCACTGCATTTGGCCTCATAGTTATTTAATATTCACTTTTATAACCTAAGAGTTGCTATAGCTGTGATTTATTTGATAGACTCAGTGAGAACTAGTAGCCCCAATTTTACATACATACCTATTAAATTTCAGTACATAACATTTATGTAAACATAATTGTATTATATAAAATCTACATGATTGTGTATAAATTATGTATACCTATATATATAAACTCAGAAGAGATATTTTTACATCTCTCCCTTACACTTTGTAAGCCTATTTTTTGAGCGGTGTATGTGTATTTTATCTGTTATATAAGGATATATTTTTAATGACATAATTCTATATATATGAGTATATTTTTGTATTACATATACCAATTTGCATAAAAGACAGAGAAGCTGGGTGCAGTGGTTCATTGTGTTACATATATAAAATCTACAAAGGCAGCGAGAGAAGCGGGCAATGGTTCAAGTCTATGGTTCCCTTTCTCACTTAGGAGGTTGGGAGGCAGGAAGGCCCTTGAGCCCAGGGGTTAGAGGCCAGTCTGAAACACATATTGAGATCTCTCTCTAAAAAAATGAAAATAAAAATAAATTGCTAAAAATGACTACTGTATAAAAGTCTGCATAAATTTATTAAACAGAATGGAGCTATACATGTATATCTCTATATTTATGTGTGTATGTGCTTTGTGAATGACTTTTAATAAAATGAATCAGGATCAACTTTACAAACTGCAGGCTTGCTGAGGCAGAAGACATCCTTGACTTATTGCTGGATTTGCCAGTATTAATACAAAAAGCTATTTACAGGTAGATGCTCAATAATGCTGTTTTATTTCAATCTCCTGTGATACTGAAGGAGGCAAAATCAAATACTTTTTCTACACTGATGTGTGAGCGTTTGTTCCATTTGGCTAAATAGTATCTACTCCCCCCACTTCTACTGAAAGTTTCTGAATTATTAAACAGAATGGAGCTATACATGTATGTATCTCTGTATTTACGTGTGTATGTGTGAATGACTTTTAAATAAAATGAATCAGGGATCAACTTCCCCAAACTGCAGGCTTGCTGAGGCAGAAGACATCCTTCGACTTTGCCCTTTCAGGTTGCCAGTATTAATACAACGCTATTTACAGAGTAGATGCTCAATAATGCTGTTTTATTTCAGTACTCCTGTGATACTGAAGGGAGGCAAAACCAAATACTTTTTTCTACACTGATGTGTGTGAACGTTTGTTCCATTTGGCTAAATAGTATCTACTCCCCCCACTTCTACTGAAAAGTTTCTGCTTTGGGGGATACCCCCATTCACTGGAGTTTTTTCACACAAGTTATCCATTTCTTTGCCTTCTGTAGGAATGTCCTGGAGATTGAAACCTGACCATCGGAGTTGCAGGAATCTGTCCAAGGGTGGTCCTTGCACACACAAGTCAGGCCAGGACCTAGGGGGAAAGGCGACTAAATCCGCACACTAAAGGCTTATAGCTGCAGGCACAGCAAGAGCCTGCCTGAAAACCAGCCCACGAGGGACATGCCCACTCTACATGGGTCAGGAACTGGAGAGAGAGCCCTTACGGTGCCAACATGACTCCATCTGAAACCCCTCAGAGGACACGTCAGCACTCCAGCTGCTGAGCAGGAAACAAGCACAGGCGTGTCCCATGCACGAGCAGCTGCGACCGGCTCAGAGCAGGCAGTGGGCACCCATTGTTGGAAGAGTGAATAAACTGCTTTTTGAAAATATTATTTACTGGCCAGGCATGGTGGCTCATGCCTGTAATCCCAGCACTTTGAGAGGCCGAGGCGGGCGGATCACCTGAGGTCAGGAGTTCAAGACCAGCCTCACCAACATGGCGAAACCCCATTTCTACTAAAAAAATACAAAAATTAGCTGGGTGTGGCAGCATGCGCCTGTAATCCCAGCTATTTGGGAGGCTGAGGCAGGGAGAATTGCTTGAACCCAGGAGGCGGAGGGTGCAGTGAGCTGAGATAGCATCACTGCACTCCAGCCTGGGCAACAGAGATTCCATCTCAAAAAAAAAAAAAAAAAAAAAAGGAAAGAAAAGAAACTTACTTATTTACCTACTTAAGACCACTTGAGTCAGGTTTGCTTCCAACCAGAATCTTAATGAACTCTTTAACCAATCTTTTAAAGTTGTGCTTTCTTTCCGCAGATCTTTTAAAGATCACAGCATTTTTCTGTATCCAGTAAACTACAGCACCTAAAAAGGACTTTTATTATGACTGTGCTTCAGATATTAATTAAAGTCCTAATTTTTCCCTAATAATGAAACAAAACTCTTTAGAAAGGCCATTTCAGAGGCATAAACAAATATACGGGAATAAAAAATAGTCTGAAACCAAGTTTCATAATTTTCTAAACTATTTTAGGAAAAACAAATCACACTAGAAAATATCCACTAGAAACATATAAGTTTAACCCAAAGGTGATGTGTTTTAACTTTCAAAAAAAACGGTAAAGCCAGCAAAAGCATTTAGAGGCTGTAATTTTGAAACTTCCTATTTGGAGGTGACCAACAGGTCTGCCATCCACGGCCCCATGCACTGTTTCAGGTAACAGGAGCATGGTAACTAGAATGACTCCTTGTCTCTGGGCAGGGATGCACTCTCCAGGGCCTCAGATGCTTGTTACAGAACATTTTTCTCCTGTTTTAGACACTAGATCGCTGTGTAATAATGAAAGGACTCCCAGTGAAATGACATGGAACTTCAAGTTCCTCACCTCTCACACTGAAGAGTACTGGCAAAGTCCACACTGTCCCCAACCACTTTCAAAAAGGAATGGAATAGGCCGGGCGTGGTGGCTCAAGCCTGTAATCCCAGCACTTTGGGAGGCCGAGACGGGTGGATCACGAGGTCAGGAAATCGAGACCATCCTGGCTAACACGGTGAAACCCCGTCTCTACTAAAAAAATACAAAAAACTAGCCGGGTGAGGTGGCGGGTGCCTGTAGTCCCAGCTACTCGGGAGGCTGAGGCAGGAGAACGGCGTAAACCCGGGAGGCGGAGCTTGCAGTGAGCTGAGATCTGGCCACTGCACTCCAGTCTGGGACACAGAGCGAGACTCCGTCTCAAAAAAAAAAAAAAAAAAAAAAAAAAAAGGAATGGAATAAAGGTTTTTTTTAAAAAAAAAAAAAAAAAGCGGAAAGGGTGGGGTAGCCATAGGCTGGAGAGACCCTGGAAGGCATTTCCTTTTAAAGTTTCCTTTATTGTTTCTGAGAAGATATATATATATATAAAAAAAAAAAATTGGCAAACTGGTTTACAAAATATTAAAAAGCCTCTACTTTTCTAAAATGCCAAGGCCAGGAAGACACCTTGTGGTGAACAAAAGCAAATGAAGACTGAGTGCTCAGCTGGCACTCCAGAGCCCTCCTGCCCTGGCCCATCACTTCCCAGCAGCTCCCTGTGGGCAGAAGGAAGCCCCTGTGCCTCTGCTTGTTTCCACGACGGCCTGTGGAGAAGGCACCCATTCACCTGGCAGACGTAGGTCTTAACCATTCTCACACTATTGTCAAGACATCGAAAATGCACAACACGCCCTCGAACGCTAAGCCTCGGGGACCAGACATGAGACTTACTTCAATCCAGGGATATCCAGAAGATTCGTCAGTCCTGTCCAGTTAATTTCTAAAAGCTGTTTTAAAACAAGGGCAAAACATTAAGTTCCAAACAACTTCCAATTATCAAATCAGGTGCACACAGACTTGTTTCTTCATGGACAAAACGTGTTAGTACACAACACAGACTCACACCCTTCATCCTTTGTAATATATCAAGGACTCCTTTCTTTGGTAGTACGTGGAGACCTGCCTCTTTTTGTTTTTTGATAATGTCACAGTTTTTGCTAGTAAAATCATAAAATAATTTATTTACCCACTCTCCTGTGGATAGACACTTAGAATTTTGACAGTTTCTCTTTATTGTAATTACAAATAATGATTCAGGGAATGCCTTTTTACATATATGTTCTTGTATACATATATAGACTAGCATTCAAAAAGTGAGATTTTGGGGTCAAAGGCTCATATTCATTTTTAATGTCGATAGATAGTACCTACCTGCCCTCTAAAAATACTGTACCCATTTACATTCTCACCCAAAGTGTATGCAAATGTCCTTTTCACATACCTCACCAAAAACAATACTAAAACCCAGCCCATCTGGCAGTTAAATAACGGGCTTCATCATTGTTTTACTTTGTATTTCCAAAGAGCAGACCGTGCTCTACCCCTCCATTCCACATCTGTGTTTATCTTAGAATAATTCCCACACAGTTAACTAACATTCCATTAAGTAGATGTTGGTTGGTAAAAACTATTGATTAGAAATACTGCTTTTCCTAACAAAACAGCACATAATAAAATTACTTGTGCTCCATATTTGTAGAAGAAATTCCAAGTGAAATTGCATGATCTCAGTCACATATATAGCTGAGTAACAAAACTGCTTGAATTCCTTTTGCTTGCAAGCAAATATAAAGTGGAAGAGTCAAGATTCTTATAGATAGAACAAAACCAAAAAAAAAAAAAAAAACCAAAAATTTTTAAGATCCTGAAAGGCTAAGATTTCTCAGAGTAACAGAAAAGAGATATAAATATAAAAATTAGGAAGGAAAAAACAGGCAACCAATCTTCAAACTGGATTGCAAACATCAGTATCAACCTATACTTTACTTCCCCCTTAAAATAAATGTTTTTCCCTAGTCCACCCATTGAACCACCTGGCTAAACCTCTACATCTAAATCATATGAATGTATTTATAAACACTGATTGAAGAGCTCATTTTCCTTTCTCTTTTCTCTCACAGAACTTAAAAAGGAACAGGTACTCTGCCACAACAAAATATTCTGGTCATGCAAAAATACCTGTTATGAGGAAACTAAGATTTAAGAGGGCATCGTAACAGGATTCTATCATTTAGTTCTGAAGGTTGTTACTCCTGATTACAAATCTACTTCAGGAAATAAGAACACATCAAAGATGCAGCACAGAATCTTGCACTCGACTCAGGTTCAAATGCAAGCACCTTGCACAGTGCACCATCAGAGGACCCCCAATGGTGACTGCTCCATCCGCAGAGCCAAGAGACACAGGAGCCACGTGAACTTCAGGAAAGGGCGGCTGTGTCAAGGAAAGTGGCAGGTAAGCATCTAAATAAAATCAGATGAGGCCACTGTGGTTAAAAGAACAGTAAAGAGAATACAATTCAAAGATGCTATTTAATAAAGAAATAAAGAATTTTTCCTACACAGCCATGCCTCGGCGATATCGCGGGCTGGGTTCTAGAGCAGTGCAGTAAAGGGAATATTGCAACATGTGAGTCACACACATTTTTTGGTTTCCCAAGGCATATAAAAGTTATGTTTAAACTATAGTCTATTAAGTGCACAATAGCATTGTATCTTTTAAAAAATGTACATACCTTTATTTTAAAACACTTTATTGCTAAAAAATGCTTACGATCACCTAAGCCTTCAGTGTGTCACAGTCTGGCTGGTAGAGGGTTTTGCCTCAGTGTTGATGGTTGCTGACTGACCAGGGTGGTGGTTGCTGAAGGTTAGGGTGATTGTGACATCTTAAAATAAGACAACAGTGAAGTTTGCTGCACTGACTGACTCTTCCTTTCAAAAAAGATTTCTCTGTAGCATGCCATGCTGTTTGACAGCATTTTATCCACAGTAGAACATCTTTCAAAATCGGAGTCATCCTCTCAAACCCTGCTACTCCTTTATCAGCTAAATTTATGTGATATTCTAAATCGCTTATTGTCATTTCAACAATGTTTGCAGCATCTTCACCAGGAGTAGATTCCATCTCAGGAAACCACTTTCTTTGTTAGTCATAAGAAGCAATTTCTCATCCTTAAACTTTGATCCTGAGACTGCAGCAATTCAGTCCCCTCTTCAGGCTCCACTTCTAACTACAGTTCTCTCGCTATTTCCATTCCACCTGCACCTCCTTCTTCCACTGAAGTCCTGAACCCCTCAAAGTCATCCATGAGAGTTGGAATCAACTTCTTCCAAACTCCTGTTAATGTTCCTATTTTGTCTCTTCTCACGAATCACTGGTGTTTTCAATGGCATCTAGGATGGTGAATCCTTTCCAGGAGGTTTTCGACTTACTTTGCCCAGATCCATCAGAGGAATCACTGTCTGTGGCAGCTATCATCTTACAAAATGTATTTCTTAAATAATAAGACTTGAAAGTTGAAATTTCTCCTTGATCCCTGAGCCGGAGAATGGAGGAGGTGTCAGCAGGCAAGAAAACAGCCTTCAACTCCTTGAGCAGCCGCATCAGAGCTCCGGGTGATCAGGTGCACTGCTGGTGAGCAGTTATGTTTTGAGGGACTCTTTTTTTTCTGAGCAGCAGGTCTCAACAGTGGGCTTAAAATACTTGGTAAACCAGCGTGTAAAAATGTGTGCTGTCATCCAGGCTTTGTTTTTCCAGGTATAGAGCACAGGCAACATAGATTCAGCATGATTCTTAAGGGCCTAAGGCTTTTTAGAATGGAAAATGAGTGCTTACTTCAACTTAAAGTCACCACCTGCATTAGCTGTGACAAGACAGTTAGTTTGTCCTTTGAAGCCTTGAAGTCAGACACTGACCTCTCCTCTCTAGCTGGAAAAGTTCCAGATGGCATCTTCTTCCAGCAGAAGATGTTTAATACACATTGAAAATCTGTTGTTTAGTGGAGCCACCTTCATCAATGATCTTAGCTAGATCTTCTAGATAACTTGCTACTTTACCTTGCACTTTTATGTTACAGAGATGTCTTCTTTCCTTGAACCTCACCAACCTCTTCAAACTTTTCTTCTGCGACTTCCTCACCTCTGTCAGTCTTCATCGAAGTGAAGATAGTTAGGACTTCACTGTGGATTAGGCTCTGGCTTAAGGAAATATAATGTCTGGGCTGATCATCTCTCCAGGCACGAAAACTTTCTCCCTATCAGCAAGAAGGCTATTTCTCTATCATTGGTGTGTTCACTGGAGCAGCACTTTTATCTTCCTTCAAGAACATTTCCTTTGCATTTACAATTCGGCTGTTTGGCACAAGAGGCTTAGCTTTCAGCCTGTGCTGGCTTTCAACATGGCCTCTTCACTAAGCTTAATCATTTTTAGCTTCGTTTCTTTTTTTTTTTTTTTTTTTTTTTGAGACAGAGTCTTGCTCTGTTGCCCAGGCTGGAGTGCATTGGTGCCATCTTGGCTCACTACAACCTCTGCCTCCCAGGTTCAAGTGATTATCCTGCTTCAGCCTCCCAAGTAGCTGGGACTACAGGCACACACTACCACGCCCAGCTAATTTTTTTTTTTTTTTTAAGTAGAGACGGCTTTTCCCATGTTGACCAGGCTGGTCTTGAACTCCTGACCTCAGGTGATCCACCCAGCTTCTGACTGAAAGTGAGAGGTGTGCAACTGTCTTTCACTTGAATACATAAAGGCCACCGCAGGGTTGTTAACTGGTCTAACTTCAATATTGTTGTGTCTCAGGGAATAGGGAGATCCAGGAGAGGGAGAGATAGGAGAACAGTCGGTTACTGGAGCAGTCAGAAGATACAACATTTACCAATTAACTTGGCTGTTTGACATGGTTTGGCTCTGTGTCCCTACCCAAATCTCATGTCGAACTGTAATCTCCACGTGCCGAGGGAGGTACTTGGTAGGAGGTGATTGGTATGGGCACAGTTTCTCCCATACAATTATCATGATAGTGAGGGAGGACTCACGAGTTCTGATAGTTCTACAAGTGGCTGTTTCTCCTGCACTCTCTCTCTCTCCTGCCACCATGTCAGACGTGCCTCACTTCCCCTAAGTTTCCTGAGGCCTCCCCAGCCATGCAGAACCTCAAGTCAATTGACCCTCCTTTCTTTATAAATTGCCCGATTTCAGGTAGTATCTTTACAGCAGTGTGAGAATGGACTAATCTGCTCTCTTACACGGACATGGTTTGTGATGCCCCAAAATAATTACACTAGAAACGATAAAGATCACTGACCACAGATTACAGTCACAGATATAACAATAATGCAAAAATGTGAAATACTGCGAGAATTGCCAAAACATGACACAGAGGCATGAAGCGAACACATGGCACGGACAGGCTTCTTTATCACAGGGCTGCCGTAAACCTTCAACTAGTAAAAACACAGCGTCTACCAAGTGCAATAAAGCAAAGGACAATAAAGCGAGGTGTGCCCTGAACACTTTCATCTTAAATGTCGTGGTCATATTTTATAGGTCAGTCTTGTTACTTAAAGAAAAAACCACCTAGCATAGTCTTAATAGCATTAAGGTACAATTGTTTTATCCAGGAAGTTTTGGGAAACAGAATTAACAATTCTCTTAAGAGCATTTTTCAATGTCATTATCTTTCAACGAGAAGTCTGTAACATAGAACACTTGAAATTTACGTTATAATGAGACTTTAATATGTTCCAAGTAGCTATGTGGTATTTTTGGACTTGTTAAAATATTTGCGTGAGACAAAGACTGACTTTAGAAAAAGTCAGTATAAAGCTAATTTTAGTTGGTGATTTTGGACCTGTTAATATATTTACATGAAACAGACACTAGCTTTAGTCAAGTTAATTGTGTTAGGGATAAAAATGTAAAAAAAAAAAAAAAAAAAAAAAAGAT